TGAGTCCCCATTACGCAGAAATTCCTTATCGTGCTAGGGTCCGATGCTGGGACGAATCGCTGAGCCCGAGTCCGCGGTCTACCCATGCTCATGTGATTACATCATTGCGGTGATTCATCGGCTACACAGCGGCTTTCTTCGGCTCCGTACGACCAATGGTACCTCCGTTGGAGGTACCATTCTCTAGAAGGAGACCTCCGCAAGCTGAATGGTGGTAGAATCCAATTGGGCTTATTCAATGAAAAAAGGGTTTTCAGTCACTTAAGCATACTTACAGTTGAGCAGCCACCCTGAAACTTCGCACATAGTCCTTTTTCGCGGAAAACAGTCCGCAAAAGAAAAATCAGCGATTTTGTCGATATAGTTTTCGATCTGTGAAAATCGTCATATATCTCCGTCCCTAGTGATCCCTTTTCCGATCTGACTAGCGCAAATGAAAGCTTTCAGACTCAGCTTTCCAACGCGCCTTCGATCATCGCTCTACGACGAACCGTTCCGGAGATACAGCTCTCTGAAATTGGTCGCCGAAGCGATTTTCAAAAAGGGGCACATTTCCTGCGAGACCCTTTTCAATGTTTTTGCGAATAAAAACTGAACGGATCGACCGATTTTGCTCTGCTTGGTCTCAAAATGCTCGTAAAAGCCTCCTCTATCGAATTGTCGAGGTCAGACCGCTTCAAAGGTCCTAGTTTTTCCGTCAAGTGCTTTCTAAGAGGTCCCTCTCCCACTTTTTTCTTTTTTTTTTAGTTTCCGATGGCTCTAGCTCAGAGACCACTGCTACGAATCGCACCAAAACTCGGCCAGGCATAGCCCCAACCGAGGTCTATCCGCCACCAAAGTTTCATCGATCTAGTCCACTCAGGGGCGGAGCTAGAATTTTTTGAAGACGAAAAATGGCAAAAAATCGAAAAATTGAAATTTCGGAAAAACTAGACCTGATGGAGAAAATCTGTCACGAAATTCGGAGTCAGCGCCCCCGGTTTACCCCGAAATAGCTTTCACTTTCTTTGTAACGCGAAAAAAGTTTTTTTTGTCGAGCTGTGTTACTGATTCCCTGGACTCGAGCCAGACGCTTTCAACTCTTCCCTCCTATCTATCCCGCTCATGTACGCTCAAACTTATGATTTCTGCAGTGACTACACGTGTAACGTACATTGAATGTTTCATTTGAAGAGATAGTACGTACAAATCCTTCCTCCCGGAATCGATAGTTACAATCTCAATAACGCCTTTATCCGTCATTTTCGTCGTCGTCGTCGTCTTCATCGTCGTCGACAACTTCGAAGCCGACCTCATCGTCGCCTTCTTCTTCAGTGTCGAGGTCGGAGTCGAGTTTTCCGATGCCCCGTTCGTTGGTTTCGTCGTCGTCCGCATCGGAAGCCATGTCCTCGTCGGCGGGCTCGTCCCCATCAGCGTCCCGCTCCTTATTCCCCTTTACACCAGGTTTAATTTTTGCTTTTTTATCTTCATCGCTGTCGTAGTTTTCGAGGACGTCTTCATTTGCCTCGCGCAGTTTCTGCTCACGGAGCTTCTCGAACTTCGCGAGATAAATGCTCAGCGGTGTAGTTCCTGGAAAAAAACGAGCGTAGTTCCCATTATCTAGAGTTCTTTGCTCCCTACATCTAGATAGAGGAACAAGTTTTGGAGCATACCTCTCAGTTGTAGCTCCAGCGCAGCGACTTTTTCTAGCTCTTTGATCGCTAGACCCGCGTGTTCTCTGGTCTTCTCTATGAAGTTCGAGTTTTCGTGCATCTTCTCCAGCAATTGTTTTATCTGAAAGGGACACCGATCAAGTTTCTTCCTCTTCTGAAACGAATGGTTCCTATGCAAGAAAGCGAACGATGGTATCAAACGAGGCCCTACCGTGGTTTGGTGCTTTATGACCTTCAGTTTGAGTTTCTTCAGTTCGATACTGGAGGCGACCACCACCTCGGGGAACGATAGCAGATGGCTGATTCCTGCGGAACCCGATTAGATATCGATGATTCGATGGAAACTCTGGTCTATGGCTCGGCCGCCGGACAGTTTCGGCTCAAACGGTCCCCATTGAGAGTTGACCGACTTACCTGCTAGGTATCCGAGAGCTAATTCTTGGAAGGATTCTATGAGGGCGTCTCTGAACGCGCTCTCCTTCACTTGCTTATCGCTCACCCGCAGAGCACAAGACAGGTTCATGGGTTTCATCGAAACTACCTGGGGAAGAATATCATCGACTTATTCGTCGCTTTGACAAATTCGAATTTAGATGAATGCACTCCGGGAATCGGTTTGGGAAGCAATCGGGGAGGTAACATTGAGTAGGTACTTTTGGCTTCTGGTTCCAACGGACGAGCTTCAGCGAGGAAACTAGCATCGGCAGGATCGGAACGAAAGTTGTCGTTTCTGTGGAGAGCTCGATCACTCCGCGGATGACGTGTAGTCGAAGTGGGATGTATTTCTCGCTCGGAATCAGATTCAGCATGCCAGTCGCCACCTGTTGGGGTTTACCAGCACACTGTCAATATCCTGAATTCGTGAGCAAGAATATTGTCTACGATCCTCGCGCTGAGGTCCCATAACTGTACCTGAATCACTGGATATATCAGCGGTTCCATAGCTTTGGTGCGCACTGTTGCCAACAAATGACACCACAGGAGCGTCGAGTGAACAAATTGCCAGTTGTATACAGACTTATGGGAGTCTTTTTTTTGACGGTCATTGCGGTTCGCAGCGTGATGGCGAGTTGTCTAAAAAGGGGAATGATCGATATCAAATGACGGCTCGAACTTGCGGGCGCCATTCATGTTGCAGCGCCCTCGAACTTTCCACATGTCTACCGAGCTCACCTTATGTACAAGAAAGAATGCTGATATGCAACATTTGGTCTCAGAGCGTACGCCTCTACGAGACTCCGTCGCATGAAGCTAATCAGGGGCCAAGTTTGCGGAGAAGTGAATTTGCAGTTCGAGACGTAGGATAAATACATTTGCTTGAGAACATCTTGGAAAGTTGCATCGTCACCTCCCCGAATCAAACGGATCAAACAGAGGAAGGCAACAACCCGAACGCTTTCTTCTCCGGTCGACCAGAGACGCGACAGACATTTCAACACTCGTTTCTCGACCTGTGGGGGAATGAGAATGCCTTTATGTAGGTGATGTACGTCTACTCATTTCTCTCGAGTGAGAATGCGAATCGATAGATCGGAATCGATCAAATCGTCTGATCGATGTGAGCAAGCATTCGGACCAATCATACCTGCGGTCGAGCGCGGACGAATGGCAGCAGGAGCAAGAGATGCCTCAAAAGCGACAATTGGAGTTTCTGCTGAGTAATGCATCCCACGAGTTTCAAGAGGTCGATCATGTACAAGCTCATGGGATTCTTGATCTTTTTCCAGCAATGTCCTGAGGGGAGAACGTTTCCCGGCGATTAGAAAGTCATTCGAAAGATCCCGGCCGGATCGGATCGGAAGTCCGAGTTCGAATGATTCGATTCAAAAATCACGATATTCAGATATCACAATTGAGCTACCTTTCGTTGGATCGATCATTTTTGACCCATCTTTCGGAACCACGGGAGGCGGCAGTTTCATAACCTGGGAAGACGAACATGTACGTCAGAGAAGCGATTCGCCTTGAAACAACAGATAGTAGCAGTCTGACGCTTTGCGGGAAGAAGCGCGCCGCAAAAATTCCATGTACCTTGTGAACTGCTGGCAGGAGCTCTTCCAAACACGCCAAAACCACAGCATTGAAGAGACCCTGACCTCTAACGCTGTAAAGGGTTTTCGCTCGATCGCCGGAGGCTTCGCTGACGGCGCCAGTGAACATTTGAGTCAAGCGCTTAACCTGGGGAAAGAAGTCGAAGGATTAGAGAATCCCCTCCAGTATCATTCATCCGTCAAGAGGGTTGTAAGAGAGTCGCCGAGAAGAAAGAATCGAGGACATTGCGGTTCCCGCATGCTCATGAACTCACTTGGTGTGTGTCAGGTCTGCTCCTCAGCTGATCCAGGAGCTGACGTAGACCCTTTTCCGTCAGAATCTGAACTTTTTCATCGATTATGTCGTCATCGTCGTCATCGGACAACTCGATTCCTTCCAGCTCGTCGTTCTCCGCTTCTTCATTCTCATCGGCGGGACCTCCGCGTGGCTTGGCGACAACCTGCGACAATACGGAAGCGTAATACCGGAAGCTCCGAATCTTCATAGGATGACTAGTCGATCGTGAATCATCTTGTGCTCTTATAGCGAGTCTCTTGTCTGCCTTCCTGGCGCCATACCTCATCGTCTGATTGGACGTCGTCAATGTCATCGATGAACTCAGCTTCCGATCCAGAATTCTCCTCGCTACCCGATTCTGGTTCAGGTGACTCGATCTTTTCAGGAGCTCTCCCTTTCTTGAGCTTCTTCGCCGCTTTACCCTGGAGACGACAAAATGGTTCCAGACATTCGCCTTGATTCGGAAAAGGCGAAGAATGAGGATTCCTCATTTCGACCCACCTCAGGTGCAGTTCCCTCTTTCACCAACTTCTCGCGCTTCTTTTTCGGTTTGTTCTTGCCCTGCTCGGTATCAGGCTTGGTGGGTTTTGAAAGTTTAAGAGAGCCGTTCCCAGCTATCTTCAATTTCGGATTTTTTGACGACTTCTTACTCTTCTGCAAAATATGGAAGGATCTTGGGTTAAAGGCTGCGCGGAGACATCGAGAGTGGAGGACTAGGACGCGATCTTTGGTATGCCATCCCTGAGGAAGTTCTGGCGCTGATAATCTCAAATGTTTGGAGTACCTTTTCCTTTTTCGGGGCCACTTCATCCTCGTCGTCAGAGCCGAAGCCTTTCTGCATGAACTCCGTGAGCGACATCTCTCCGACGTCCTCATCTTGTCGACATTTCCTCTTACGCGATTTCTTCATCTCGGACACCATCTCGGAGGAGTGTGAATAGTTCTCGATCGACTCAAGCCTCTGAATTCACGGTGAAGTTTGAGACACGGCGGAGTCAAGCGATTTTAATGTACAATTCGAGAATCGTTCGACTTGTCCAATGGAACGATTGGCGGCGCTGCACGTGCCAGAACGTGTGTTTGTTATTGTCCTGAGCTCTCTCTGCAGCTGCTGCGGAAACAACAAACACTGCGCGAGACGGATCCTCTCAGTTTGACAGATAAGATCGATTCTATTCCAGCAACCAGCAGGAGATCCTCCAAAAGCTAGGGCGACGGTTCAGTCCTCCCATCCAAGCTCACATATAGTGCAAAACATGACGGAATGATGAAGCCTGCTTGCGCGATCCGGCGGTCGGTCGGCTGCACCTAGCAGAGAGAATACTGAGAGGGTGTGTGGGTTTTCGAGCTGTGCCATTTGACCGCAAGGCAAAATGGCGGGTGGCCTGTCGTCCGCCGCCTGCTAGACTAGGTAAGCGTGGCGCGCGATCTGGTACCCGAAAACGCGGGGTCGCCGTCGCAAAGAAATTCGGAATCTTAGGAGAGCAGAAACGCCTCTCCTTGACATCACGATGATTCGTTCACCTCTAGGAGGTATCTCGGTTGCGGAGAGCAGTGTCTAGAACCCTACAGTGTGTAGTGCCCCCCCAGTGTGTAGATACACTGACGGCGGGAAACTCTCCGTCGGCTACTATTCTCTTTCGGAGTTTTTTCATCCGGCTCCAGGGATCATAACTCACGAAGAGCCGTTCTTCTGGTGGAGGAATAGGGACGGGCAAGAGGGTCCACTCTCGAGTCGGCATTCAGAAAAACTTATTCTTTTCTATAAGTACCTGGTTTGTCGGTGCGGCATGATGGAGAAAATCTTCGTCGCCATGAGCGCTCTGAGTCCGCATTCCGATACTAGAAATCCCTGAAATCCCCAGCGGATGAGCAGGGAGCTCTATGAGCATTATCCCGTGGAAAGCTTGGGTCTCAGCGAGCCGTCCCTAACGATCTGTGTAGTCCATGCTGCTCATCTGTGGCATCTGCACGGTCTCGGGTTGCTATGATCCCAGCTTTCCGTGAAGGAGGACCAAGAACTTCAAGGAGTTCAAAAAGAGAGCAGGATGAGTGGAGCAGAGATTGTTCGCAAACTTCGATGCATGTAAAACATCTCATGGGCATACAGTGAGCTAGCTTAGGTCACCGCGCCGATGGTGCCGATTTCACTGGAGCGCGGCCAGTGAGCGTAGCACCCAGTTATAACCGGAATAAAACAATCGAGTTTGCGTCTGAGTCTGAACGACTATCCTGGTTGACAATTCAGATAAGAAGGCTCGTCGATTAATTATCGGTAAGCACCCATCCGCCTGAGCATCCATCGTTTCTGGAAAGCCGAAGCTCCAGGATTCTTTGCTGCCATAACCCACTTCTACGGATTTATCGCTGCTCCTCGCCACAATCTTTGAAGGAGGTTCCCTGAAGCATCAAGTGACGGCTCTAATCGTGTGTTTTACTGTAATGTAATTTATCCCGGACGTGACCTGACAGATGTGAGTCATGCGCACCGATGGCGCGGCGTAGAGCACTCAACGAGATGTTGAAAAGAGTTGACGCGCATATGAATTCATTGGCGAGACTTCCGCACTCCATTTCTTCTTCGTAATAAAGCTTGTTGCACTCCGCGCGGACTTCGATGAGAAAGTAGCGGCTCAGTCCATGTGGTAAAGGTCTGGATGGAAGCCGCTCCGGCTAGGACTACCTACCTACTGCTGCTGCTCGCTGACTCAGCCAATTCGGCTGAAAACTTCTGTGTCAATAGAAGATGTTTTGGATGCGGCGCAGCCATCGAACTTCCTCGTGCGTCTCGATACTCTGGCATTACGTGATATGGCATTGAAGAATAATTGATGATAGGACATCCAGCTCTCGTCGGGATTCGACTGGAATCTTCATGTGATTCCATTCAGTGGTCCATCGATCCTCCATGGATTTCGGACTATACCGCCTCAGACTTATTGGAGCTTGATCTATGAGAACATCTGAATTCGTCCGTCTAGTCCGATTCCTCGAAAATATTCGGGAAACTCCCTGTGCCATCCCTTTAATCCGGTGGGGAATGCACGGCTCCTATCGAAGTCCAGCCCGCAAACTTCGAACTGGGATTCGTCGGAGAGAGTCTGGTTGGGAAATAAGAATTCGTGCTCCTACTTCGCTTCTTCCCGAATGCGTAACACCATACGGACAAATAGACGGATGGACGAGACGACTTTCTGAATGAGTAACTGACAACACGGATAGGCGGACAGACGAACGGACAGACGGCCGTGCTCAATTGCGTGCCGGCAGAGATGTGGACCGCCCAGGCGACGACGGAGCAACTATCGATCGGAGAGAGTTTTACAGTAGAACGGTGATCACAGTCACCTGTCACCATTACGAGCGAAATCTCTCAACCATGAGGTGGTGTCTGCTCGTTGCCATTTGCACATGTCTCGCGCGGGCGGCTGTGCCGCCTCCTCCTTCGACGACGTCGACGGAGGAACCACCGACAACGACCTCGACCGTGACGCCGAGCGATAAGAGCGTAGAATCTGGAGCCAGCAGCTCGGTCGCACCTCCGACGGTGACCAGCGTTCTGCCCGTGAGCTCGACCGAGGCCCCAGGGAATGTGACCGCGCCGGGGAACTCTACGGATCCACAGTGCAAGAGCGATGAGAAAATTATCGAAGACGTGAGTAAAATGAAGTTCTCGGGAGCCGACCCGGATATTTAACCGTAGATGCCGGATGTCGGTTTTCTGAATCAGTTGAGCATTTCTGGGACCGTAAAGCCATGTTCGGAGTCATCTTTCTGACATTGCGATCCTTCAACGATTCGGGCTAGTTTTCGAGCGAGCTTTTTCCTTGGGAAGGTCAGGAGAGTCAAACCCATTATGTGACCCCGGGTGTTCAGAGAGATCTTATCCATTCAGATGAATATCAGCCTCAGAATATTCTCGGAATTCATTCACTTCGTCGAACATTTTGCCTGCTGAAGACACTTCCGGTTGTCGACAGAAGCGACCGATTAGAAATAAGTCACGCAATTTGTCACCTTGGCTCGACTTCGGCCATAACATGCGATAGCCCTGAGACTTATCCAATGTTGCCGAGCGAGAACACGCTCCTTTATTCGCGTATTCTCCGCTATGTCATGTTTTCGACGTTTCTTCGGGCTCCGACAGCCTCCACGACATCCCCGGGCGCGCGACGAAGCGGATGGTCTCAGCTACCCCGACTATTTCTCTGACGTGGAATCGCTCGTGTAATGTAGATTCGATTTTAGCGAGTCAGACAGCGAGAAATTCCATGCCGTCTCTTCGGACATTAGGATTCTCGATCTCCCGCATACGTATGCAAGACGTGCGTAATTACAATGAGCTGAATCGATCGGAGACGTTCGGTTCTCATACTTGCGAGCCGGATTCATTTTCGAGCCTCAAGAGCGTTCATATTCCCCGGGTCCCCGAATCAGACCACAACTGGGGCGAGATCATTCCCACGGTCGAACTTCGGAAGCGTTCGCTGGTTGTTCCGAGCTGGATTGGTGGAATCTAGACTCAAGAAAGCCGGTATACAAGGAAGTCTCATTTCTGCGAACCCGGTCGTAACGGACACTCGGTTGCTTGGTCCCGGACAAGCTCATGGAACCATCAATGTCGGGTGAATCGGCTATAGCGGACCCTATAAGGGACTTCCGGATATGAATTCCGAGCACCGGTCTTACCACCGGAGGAAATTCAGGAGCGATAGCGTATTGAATTCGCGAGGTTTCTCGGCGCGTCGTAGAGTAGGCTGCAGCGGTGTCTCCGATTATTTCTCCGGTCCATTCCGAATTAGGACCCGTCTTCGGACGATACGGTCACGGACTTCGGTTAGAAGAACCATTTCAGCCAGTCGCTTCGAGTGCATTATACCGAGGTTCTACTGTTCGTAGATAATATGGTGATTCAATTTGATTGATACCGGGACCCCGGATGTTTCCTGCTATCCGAATCAAACTCCGTCTTCAGGGATTTCACGCGTGACTTGCGGGGAACGCCGGCGGAAACTCCAGAAATCTTCTGAGAGCCCCATGGAGTTGATGAAGTGAAGTTAGTGAAGCGAGGCTCGTGAAGGTGTCCGTGTGAAAGAGAAGTTGATGGAAATTTCCTGTAGGAGATTAATTCGAGCGTATCTCATGAAATTAAGTTTATGGAGTCGGTGTCCATGAACTTGGAGCTCATGCCATTCAAGTTCATGAAGTGCAGCTCATTCATGAGATGCGCCTCACGAAGTGAAGTTCATGTACGGAAGTCCCTGAATTGGAGTCTATGGAGTGAAATTCATTTTCTGAAGTTCATTATTGTAAACTCTTGAAGTGCAGTTCATGAATGTAGGTTCTAGAAATGAGCCCACGGAGAGAAGCTTTCCGAGTGAAGTCTTCCGGGCTGAGTTTGCAGAGCGAAGATTTTATGTTGAAGTTCATAGAGTGACCTTCATGGTGCGGCGAAACTTTCCCGACCCTCCGTAGAGTCATTTTCTGAACGAAATCTGCCGCACTCGAATTCGTGGATTCGAAAATGATGCTCAGCCTACGTGAGATATAGTGCAGGATGCGAGAAAAATCCCTCCTTTGGTAACACGATTCGAGTGCAGAATTTCCTCCCTCCTCTGAGACTGATTCGATTCAGAGTCATCTTCGACTCCCTTCTTCAGGCAGCCTTCGGCAACAGCCTTCAATTAAGGGCTCCCGCCACAATGTATCAAGTGTCGACCCATCACTGGGCTCCAAAAATGATATTGTCTGTGATCAAAAAGTATGCGCAAGGGATTGAAGCCGGTGGAGAGATCTTTCGGGCCGAATGGATGATCGTTGATCCTCTCCGATCATACTGTGTATATTCCCAGTATGCATAGATCAGACGACCGCGGTGCAGGGGCGATCTCTCTAGTAGGTCCATTCGTGTGATATTCTCCTTCGCTTTGTTTCCTTCGCTGTTATTTCTCCTTTGTTCCCACTCCTCCTGTAGAATTCTCGTCCTCGCAATCATCCTCGTTGTCATCGTGTTGTCATCGTATAGCCCGTAGTTGTCATCGCGCGATTTACTCGGCCTCCGGCGAATTGTCACATTCCAATATCACGTGTTCCACAGTTTCCCCGGCCTAACCACTTCCCTGGCGGGTCGCTTTGATGTTCCTGAATATTTTCTCGATCGTAAGCATCCAGCTCTCGCATTGACAATTAGGCGGCTTCCTCGCGTTATGTCGTATGGGAGCTCGATAATAACCCTCGCAAAATGGAACTCCTGATTCTTCGGCGTGATTCTCAGTTCTCCCCGTCCTATTCACTTCGTTCGAGTTAAAGTCGATTCTTCCATGTTCGACCGGCTCGATGACTGACATACCATTAAGAATTCGAATCGGGAGAACATTCTGCGTCACCGAGGGATCACCGCCAAGTTTCGTCTCAAGAGAGACAACGTCAACGGTCGATAATTCCCGCAGGTGATTCTGATAATTCCCGTAGCTCGTTGGCGAGAGATTCTCCTCCCGAGAATCGGAAATCCATGCCAGCAATTATTCGATGAAAACGGGCTGTGGTACGAAGTTTTTCGACATGATGCAACATCCTAGAGATATTTGAGTACTGAATCCTCGGAAATCGCGAAGGTGAGAGCATTATATCCTTCCAAACGAATATCAGAAATCCATTCAATAATCATTCCGATTTGACGAAGCTCCTGCCAACGACTGAGAATCTCTTGTGATGCTCTTCGCTTCCGATGCGACACAACCTCTTCATTGTTGCCCTTCGTTCCGTTCGATTCCTAGTGACACACCTGGCCGACGAGATCGAAAGCATCGGAACAAAACGAGTAACCTCTAAATAAGCATCACACAAAAGAGCAGAGAGTTCTATTCAATCTCTCCTCCTCTCAACGTCTACCCATCCAGTCGGATGACAAATCACACCGCACAACTTTGAAGAGGAAATTTTTGTCAGGAGATTCACGGTATCCGGATAAATTGCATTATCTCGTGCTCCACTCGCGAAGCCACTGTATAAAAACAACCGGAGGCGGTGACTATGATAGGATTCGACTTCGGATGTGTCTGGAGAGACGTAGCGGTGATATCGAGAATTAAGATGCCCCGGGCGCGCGAATATCACGGTCAGCTCCCGATGAATCCTGAGCGTGATGGGAATCTCCGGGAATTCCGTGAACTCAGGAGGCATAGTAGAAGCAATCACATCAATTCTGACGTTCTCTGACGTCGGGCCTGAATGGTTCTTCCGGGAGGCCGGAATCCGGGTGATCCTTCCCGGAGCTTTTCAAGATAGGGATAGAATCGTCGAGTCTTCCGTCGTCATACGGGAGAAATACCACGACCTTTTGCTATTCGAGCTCGCCAAGATGCTGGTGGCGGCTGATTGGTATGGCAGGCTCTGCATCCCTGATTCACGATTCGCGCGGTGCACCTATGAACCTCGGAGCTCGCTGGAGAGAGCTTATCTGATACGAGCCCTCCTTCTGGGAGATGGTAATGTAGATTGGATTCTGTGCATTGAGCTTCAAAACTGCTTTTCAGACGACCAACTGTCACGTCCTTTGTTCGAAAGGACCCTTATTCTACTATTCGGCGGGTCGGAAACCCAATGGTACCGAATGCGTGATCAACAAATACGTCGAAGGAACGAAACACATAGAATCTACGAAGCCGGGCGATTGTCTCAAGGGTCAGTGTGTCCCTAGGAACGACACTTCCACGGCAGCAGCGTCGACACCATCGATGACCGTGACTACGGCACTCCCGACCGCCCCCCCCAGTTCATCCGAGACTCAATCACCCCCAACAACAGAGGCTGCGGTTTCCAGCATGGCAAGCGTCGAATCCTCGACGACAACGTCGCCGTGAAGCTGACGGATTCCCCAAATGATATGTCGAATGAAGAATATTCTAATCATCTCTCGTACATATTTTCATTAGTAGTCATGTCCATCGTCATATCAATCATTTCCGGATCCACCTCCGCAAGGGTTTAATTTTGCGAACATCAACATAGGGTATTTATGGAATTCGACCGTCTACTCCCGAAACAGACTACGGCTAGTTCTTGTACTCGTTCGATCTTTCGCGATCCACACGTGACTTGAAATAAGAGCTAAATAAATTCTTGTGCTCGGAATATCGCTCGGCTCATATCCATTCAAATCAATTCGTCCAGCTGATACATAGTTTAGAAGACGCTGTGTCACTCCTCCTATCATTTGATCTCACGACGCCGACGTGGTGGGGCGATTCCGGCAGAAGCCTCATCTCGTCTATCTCTGCCGGCACGCGCATCTTCCTCAGCGTGTGATGACCTCTCTTCCCGCAGCGAGAGTAATAAAGATTTTCGACCACAATCTCAATGGAGTTCCCTTTCCACGATCCAAAACGTCGATTATTTCTCAGTGGACGTAGGAATCCCTGATCTACCTGGAGTCAGCGAGGGGATCGAGTGCAGATTTCGCTCGATTTCTCTGCATTATCTCGGAACCGATTTCGACAGCGTGCCGTACGGAGCAATTGGCGGTTCCCGATGTGCGAGAGTGGAGCAGGAAGTTGATGTAGCAATCTTTCGACGCCTAGAGTGCAGAGAAGACGCTCCTCTGTTCGCGCCTGGTTGTTGTGGTTCTCGTGTGGACGTGGCCAGCTTCGAATTTCCGCCGAAGAGTCCCCTACTACCTAATTATAAGTGACTCAAAATGTTCTTACGCATTCAAAACTCGCGAATGCAGCCCCTACGGAAATGCTTGGTTAATTCGAGAAGAGCTTTTGCGTCGGCCGATATTTACACAACGGATCCGATAGATCCTTCAGAAGCGAAGTTCGGCAAAATCTTGATCGCGAACAGAGGTGAAATTGCGTGCCGAGTGATAAACACCTGTAAACGCATGGGAATCAAAACCGTCGCGATACACTCGGATGTTGATTCAAGATCCCTCTTCGTGAGGATGGCTGACGAAGCTTTCTGCGTGGGCCCAGCACCGACGAGGTAAATCATGCGCAGAACTCGTAGGGGAGAAATGAGCACTCGTTCGAACCTCGGGGACCAAGAACTTCTCTCTGATTCCACGGAGCATTCTTCTCTCATTATGAACCTGTCCGGGCTCCCATCCGGCAGATCTCCGACTATTTTCACCTTATTTCCTCCAGTCAGTCCTACTTGAACGTCGATGCTATTTTGGAGGCAATCAAAAATTCTGGAGCAGAGGCCGTACACCCCGGATATGGTTTCCTGTCCGAAAACACGACGTTCGCAGCTCTCCTGGAAGAAGAAGGAGTCACATTCATCGGACCCAACTCCAAAGCCATAGAGAGCATGGGAGACAAAATCATGTCGAAGAAGTTAGCCAACCAAGCGAAGGTAATCTGAAAAGAATCTCGATAACAATGAGAAGACAAGCTCCCATTTCTGAACTGATAAAGTCCGCAGGTCTACCGATCCAATGTGAATGTCCTGGTGTGTTCCATGATTGAATAGTTTTAATGGTCCCGACAGGGAGGACGGTCAACGTCAAAAACTAATTAATCCCAGTGATGTCACAGGTCAATTGCATCCCTGGCTTCGACGGCGTCGTAGACACCCCGGAAGAGGCGATCAAAATTGCCAAGCAAATAGGATATCCTGTGATGATCAAAGCTTCGGCAGGAGGCGGCGGCAAGGGGATGAGAGTTGCTTGGAACGATAAAGAGGCCGCGGAAGGTTTCAGGTGCGTCTCTGGATCAGGCACCGCGATGGGAGTACATGTGTTCGATACGACCGCTCAACTCCCAATCTTGGCATTCCAGATTCTCGAAGGAGGAAGCGGCTGCTTCTTTCGGGGACGATCGCCTGTTGATCGAAAAGTTCATCGATAAGCCCCGTCACATCGAAATTCAATTCATGTGCGACAAACACGGGAACGGAGTGTATTTGAATGAGCGAGAATGTTCGATACAGAGGAGGAATCAGAAAGTCTGTATTAGCCAGAAGGAAACATTCATCTCAAATTGATCTCGACTGGCTCCGTTCCATATACGCCAAGTGACCCTCGCGGACCAGGCTTACGAAGAGGATCGACTGTTTTAGGTCATCGAAGAAGCTCCGTCGACGTTCGTCAATCCCGAGCTCCGGAAAGCCATGGGTGAACAAGCCTTGGCCCTTGCTAAGGCTGTTGGTTATGATTCGGCAGGAACGTGCGAGTTCTTGGTCGATTCTCAGAAGAACTTCTACTTTCTCGAGATGAACACCAGACTTCAAGTAGAGCACCCGATCACGGAATGCATTACCGGAGTCGATCTCGTCCACCAAATGATACGGGTAGCGAAGGGCCACCCGCTACGAATCAATCAGAGTCAGGTACTCTTGCACTCCAATCGAATTCGCCCCGACCTTTTTATCCTTTTCAATACCGGAATATGAGAGCGGAACTCGTTCTGAGTTAATGAGATCAATGAAGCACGAGTTCCTTCCCCCAGGTTCCGCTTAATGGTTGGGCTTTCGAAAGCCGCGTTTACGCTGAGGATCCATTCAAAAACTTCGGATTGCCTTCCATCGGGAGGCTGCACCGCTACATAGAGCCTACTAATATACCACGGGTCAGGTACGATTTTACCCCTGGCGGCGAGACGCGAATAGGTACACAGACATCCATATGAGGGTCATGACTCAAGACGCAATCTCATTAAACAGGTGCGATTCCGGAATCGTCGAAGGGTCCGAAATATCGATTTACTACGATCCCATGATCTGCAAATTGGTCACCTATGGACCGACGAGGGAAGACGCCAGGAAGACAATGATCTCAGCCCTTGACGAATACGTGATCCGTGGAGTGAATCATAACATAAGCTTATTGAGAGCGATCATGGGAGAGGAAAGCTTCATTAGAGGGGACACGGACACCGGCTATCTGAAGAAAATCTGGCCCGACGGTGAGTTCATCGAGGCTGTTGCTATTGCCGAATGGGAAGGTTCCGAAGCATGGCCTCCTGAAATTATAACTCATGCCCCTTCGTGGAATAATCATATGCAGGATTCACGGGCATCCCTCTCACGGTTGAGACCAAGAATCATTTGGCCGCAATCTCGTCCTGCGTGTACGTTCAAGACGACATAACGGCGAGTTCCATTCTCTCCTCGCGACGGTTAGAAGGCACAGACGGCGCTTCAAGGGTCTGGGAGGTCCAGGTGAGAATAATTCTCCGGATGATGATCGGATCGAGAATCGAATGCAATGACGGCACAACCCCGTCAACATGAGACCCTGGCTGAGCTCGATGTGTTCAGGAAAAATAGTGGGACTCTATTTTACTCAGGTGGACATTAAGGACGAACGTGTTCGCGCGTCGGTAATTAGGTCCTCGAACGGGAGGTATCTCGTCAATATCGATGGGAATCACCTCGAAGTTTCGCTGCCGGAAAGTCTATCCCAACCCACAATCCCCGTGAGCGTCGGCGACGCGAACTACGTGGTCCAGGTGCCAACGAGGGATTTCGCGGGGAATATCCGCTTGAGGTTCGAGGGAACCGCTTTCGATTTGAAGGTAGTCCCCACGGAGTGCGCGGAATACCTCCAGAGGATGCCAGAGAAACCGAAACCGGACGTCTCCAAACAGGTCCGTTGACGTAGATTGCCGAACGATTGCTTTGAGGAACCCACGACAAGAGCGAACGTTCAGATTCTTTCGCAAATCGTCTGTGTCAATGACGGGCTCCATAGAAGATCCCTGTCTCAGCTTCATTAGAGTTCGCATTTCCGCAGGTGGCAGCTCCCATGCCTGGCTTGGTGAAGTCCGTTGCTGTGCAGGTCGGAGACGTCGTTGGAGAAAATCAAGAAGTATGCGTAGTGGAGGCGATGAAAATGCAAAATTCTCTCGTTTCCCTCGCGATGGGCAAGATAAAAGCCGTGCTGGTCAAGGAAGGCGAGGCGGTAGAAGAAGGGCAACTCCTCGTCGAACTTGAATGAGTTCTCAAAGGTGTAAATCGACGAGGAGCGAATCGCTGATTGATGTCCAGCCTCTGTCAGATCGGTCGATTCAGAGCTCACGGATATTTTAGACACATGACTCTCGAATTCAGGAGCGGTGGATATATGACTATGGGGTCCTTCTTTTGGCTGTACATTATTTGTACAAAAATTCATCTGGCGGTTCCTCTCTGAGAGAGGGACAGCCTCGAAGTTTTAAAACTGAGAAGCGGCGGAATCAACGAACAGTGAATCGCTCTAGTCTCGGCGAACATGGTCGACCGCCGCTGATATAAACGAGAAGGACGCGACGCCGGCGGTTAAATAAAATTGAAGTTCCTGTCGGGTCACTGGAGGGTTTTTCCTCAAGCTCGTGACTTCGTCATGCTTCTTAGGATATCATGGGGGTCTTCCTTCAGACAATCATAGAGCAAAGAGAGATCGATAGTACGCCCGGGAACCGACTGGAGGCATGGCGATTGCACCGAGACTGCACGGCCCTCCCTCACAGGGAGTCAGGCCAGACAAATATCCTCTCCCTCTTCGCTTGTGGGTGAGATGAAGATACGAGGGAAAGGCGAGCCGCGGAAACACAATGAATACGTTTCCTTTTCTATATCACAGATACTCCAAATTTTATTGAGCAGAATTTCATTATAAATGTCCCAAGGATGGGTCGGGGAGCTGAATATTCTGAAGAAGTATCGTCTTGCTCGTTGTTGCACGTGAATTCAAGAGAGCTCACTGAGCAAACTTGCATGGCGATACGCCCGAGAGGATCCGACAGAGTTTCCCCTCGGGATTCCTCTCTCCCCTCGTCATAGATAGAAGCCCTCGCACTATTGAGAGTCATCCATCGGTTGATTTGGAATGATTATCACTGACAATACACCTAGGCCGACACCTGGAAAGTTTTCGAGGTCATTCCACGGGATATCAAGGGTCCTCGACGTTATCCGACGAGCATTTAGGCGGATCTCACCGTTCAGGTAGTAGATTTCATTTCGAACACACAATTATTAGAAATAGCTCTTCCAGGCTTCTCGATTATCCTTCATGTTGAGCTTCTTCAGGCTGCAGAAGAAAATATTGCCAATGCACATAGCGGCGGAGAGAATCCCTCGTAGAATTCATCCGAGAAGACTTTCGACCATGCCCCGCGGGCGGAATCGTACCTGTATTGGCGCGGAGACTTCTGGAACTCATTCACCAGCTGAGCAAGTGTTTTCCCGGCTGGGTTAGGATTGCTCGAATGAATTACTATTTTTTTCTCGGGCAACTTCATGATTTTAACAGCTTTCGATGAAACTTTTGGTTTCGATCTCTTCGGTAGCACCGCACGGATTGCATCACCTACGCCGGGAAACGGGGAACGATGTTGGTAATGCTACATGGTTCGTTGAGCGCATCTCGCATACATGGTACCATATGGGAAAGGAGCTCGATAGCGCGGCCGACCTACCGACTTTGGTTCTCACGCCCGCGTACGGTTTCCGGAGCTTAGGGATTTTCGAGGTCTTCTGAGCCTTAGTTATCGATTTCCTCAGTGACATTCGACGCAGGGAATCTGAGCGAGCGAACGTATGAGAAAGACAGCGTCAAGTGGAATAGTCGCCTGACAAGATACATTTTGCTCATCGATTGAGGCACTTGAGTGGGATTCACCATTACCTCGGGGCTCGAATCGGATCCTCGTCGCCTTTGTCAGGGATCTCTTGCGCTTGGGTGTCACAGTGGGATGGGAATTTTTGAGCTCCTCCGTCTCCTTAGCGAAGACTCTCTTCGATCGCAAGGGTGTCGTCTTAGCCAACTTGACATCTTCGGGATCCACGCTATAAGTCAGCGGTTCTGCTGGTGGGAAGCTCCATCGCCCCCATGCGTGACGTCTTATGCAGGCTGTGAACATATGATTATAGTGGAAAGACTTCCGGATTACTCGGGACGATCGGACCGGGAAGGAATACTCATGCACCTTGTTTGGGAGTGTTTTCGTCTCGCATGTCTATCGATCGAGCGCCGACGCGACGGGTCCTCGGAGGGACGAGGGGCGGCTTATTCAGAACTTGATTCACGGGCGTGACTTGCTCATGAAGTTGCGCTCCCTGAATATCCAGCAATTCAATTTAGATTTATCCCAATGCCTTAGTACCTCGGGATAGGAAAAATTGTGTTCTAGAGCCTGCTCACATCATTTTCCTTCTGGGCCACGACCGGCTTGTCTTTCCGCTGAGGCAGGAACCTCTCACGAAAACTTCTAGCTCGTTTCTGAATATTTTTCCTCGCGGCTTCTGTCATGGATACCCGTTGGACGGTCGCCGTCAAACTGCTGAGGAGGAAAAGACTCCGCTGAGTTCCATCGAGGGTATTCAGTTCGACCCGGGGATATTCTCACATAATATGCGATTGTGCAGGGGCCCAAGGAACATCATAGGTCCGATAATATCGAAGAATTACCGTTAGTTACTGGATAATATAGTTAGTTCTCACTTTTTCGTCAAGGCGGTCTTCCGCAGCACCTCTCGCTTCGCACATTGTTTGACGCGATCGAAAAAGACATCTACTTTCGGATCATCCTCGAAAGTGTTGGGACAGGCGATAGCGTCGAAATCGAAGACTTCTTTGCCTCGCATGTTGCGCAACGGGGACTCGAGCCTTCGTTCAATAATGTAAAACCAGATCACGGAAGCCCGAGGGTCTCCTCTCTAGAACGATAGTGTATCGAGGTAAACACCGAGATGGATGAGCACGTCTGCATCGCTCGACCATCTTTTCTGCGCGGAAGTCGTTCCCGAATGAAAACACAGCTGAGGTCCGACGTTCTCATTTTATCGAACACCCTTCGCTGAGTGAGATTCCCGGTTTTCCGCTTAACCATGGCCCCCGAGGCAAGTAGACACCACTGTGCATTGGCTTCCCTCATCTCGACCGTGAATGTCTTGAGCAGTTACAAGTGAGTACGGAGAGATAGCCAGATGAAGACGACCACGGTGTTTACGGGAATCTCGTGACTCGAACACAACCCTTTTTAGACGCATCCAGCATGACAAAGTCGCCAGGAGCTGCTCATTCATCGAAAGGATGCAGCCTCAATACAGCGAATATCTGATCAACTACCATCGCTTCCTGCACACCGTGAGTGTCGAATGTCTATCCTCTTGACTCATTCGCGGTGATATCATGTGTTCGCTTCTAGACTGGCGCCTATTGGAATTGAGAAGAAAATTTCACCCCGTACCCCACAGGTTCGCGTTGGAGTGAACCAGAACTTCGCCTTCCTGCAGGAAGTCTTGGAGAATATACCGAGAACGCTCGGCTCCATGATTTACATTCCGCGAACGTTCGAAATCGACCCCAAGTCCAAACCCTCACACAGTGAGGTTGAGGAGCTGCTGCTTGTCCTCAAGGAAGTGCGACGCGAATGGAGTGCGGAGGGCCGAAGTGAAAGGGATCAGTATTATATTCCGCTTTTGCAGCGAGCTGAGGCGCTTTTCCCGAAGCATAGAAGCGATGTTAGAGTATTGGTTCCAGGCCAACGCTTGGGTCGACTCGTTTTCGAGCTCGTGAAGAGAGGATTCCGCTGCGAGGGACATGAAAGTTCTTATCTGAGAGCGGCTTTCGCATGTTTTATTCTGAGCAATCCGATCCCGGACAATCATTACACCATCCATCCTTTCCTCCATTGCTTGAGTGCTAATCTCCGAGACGAGGACAGAACTCGAATGGTCCATTTTCCGGATGAGAATCCGAACGCGATTCTCAGTCAGAGCAGTCTTTGCTCATTTGTTCTCGGGGACTTCACGAATGGCTATAAGCATCAGGCCGGAGAATGGGATTTGGTCGTCACCTGTCTCTTCCTTCAAACTGAACCGAACGTGATCGGATGTATGGAAGTAATTTTCGACTGCCTCCGGCCAGGAGGTCACTGGTTGAATCTCGGATCTTTAGCAAGCGCATATCACAAGAGGAAGAACCAAGCGCTCCTGACACCGAGTCATGAAGACATGAGGCATATAATCGAAGAGATCGGATTCATCGTGACGGAGGAGGGTACTGAAATCCGTGGCACCTTCTGTGCGACTCAGTCTTCCATGCGGCAAGTGCAGTATCGGAACGTGCTTCTGGTTTGTAGAAAGCCCGCAGATGTAGGAGTCCAACAGGTGAAAACGGAAGTGGTCGAGGACGTTTGAAGCTGAAGAAACTCTTTCCCAATCCCTCTCGAACTCGGAAAAGATCCTAAAACTATATGGAATGCAAGTGACTAATCAAGAGTGCCGATTGATATACTAACCCGACGCGCGAGACGAACAAAGTGATGGATTTTAGGTGGAGCCTGCATGTAAATAAGCGATGAAGATGTTTTCCCGAAATAAATTCGACGAGACGCTCTTTCTAAAAGTGGGAGTATGTCGAGTAAGTCACAGCGTTCAGGTGATGTTCTCATTCGTGTGTCCGTGAGCATACACACATAAGAAGTTTATCCATGACTATAGGGCCAAGGGGACCTCATTCATTCAGAAGTAGATGAGGGCAGCCAACTCTCCGTGCTCGTTCACACTGACGGGGGCTCCTCGAATCTTTCAATGGCATGCTATACGAGAGAAGAGCTTGGGAAGCGGTATCACCAGACCTCTGGAATCATCCTAACAATGATCAGGGTTGAGAACTCTGAGCTCGCCAATCTTCCTGAACATCCTTGATCAAAATTATTGTCCAGAGTTCCAGAGGATTGCGTGCAAACTTTAACAGCGTAGATTAGTCTCCTCTCGCGAGGCAGCTTTGAGTTGAGCATGTCTCCAAGCAGCCCTCCTATAGTTTTCGCATCGATCTTTAATATCCGGATGTCCCCGCACCCTATGGTTCCCCGATTCTTTGAAAGACCAGTCCTTCACTATGATGACGGATGGTATTGAAACCACACATGAAATAGAATGCGGTATAGCTCGGAGCGGCCTTCCTAATGAATGGAGCGGAAGATACAGTAGAAGGGATCTCCGTTGACGGCGAGCTCTCAACCGAGACGCGTGGAGCGTATTTTCAAGATCGAGATCAGTCTCCGAGAAGCCTCGTTTATGATAGCCACCTAATCAAAGAGCTCTAGGAATCTCACGATTCTTGAATGTTCTGACCATTCAGATCGCGCTGATCCGTCTCGTTACACAGCTCTCAATCTCGGTAATACCGTTTATTTCCCAATCGACTTTTCCTGAGCGCGGCGATGGAAATTTTCGCATGAAAGAGTGACTGCTTGAGAGTATGATTGTCGAGCGCCAGTCGAGTACAGCACAGCCAGCCGCGGAGATGCATCGTTTCGGAGACGCAGTCTTCCTTTCGGGGAGGCCAACCCCTCGATCGATGATTTCTGAGAATGGGAATCCAGCCCCACACGCCGTTTCGCGCCACTCACGGCAATCGGAGCGTATTAGTAAACAAGGCAGCGGCCGCCAACATGGCGAAACTGAGAGAGAGGAGGTTCGGTCAGGGGGAACTGCTAACAGAGGGCCGTGAACAGTTTCGCGATGACTTCGACTGCATTGCGCGCGGTTCCGGCTGAGGTGGTAAATGACACCACCTCGGACTCGAAACTCAGGTACATTATTATGTTCGGAGCCCCCTTGGTCGCCGGAATCGCTCTTTACTGGTACATGGGCAGGAGGACGGAAACGAAGAACAAAGTGTCAAGCGTACCGAAGAAGGACATTCGCGCCGAAGCACAGAAGAAAATTGATGATCAGATCAATTCGCAAGTAAGCTCATAATCCTCAGAAAAATTGAATCGGTGATCGAGAGCTCTCCCGACACGCGGATCGTGTCTTCGGGAAAGAAGAAACTCGGAGGATCTGCGTTGACATGCGCCATGCGGTCGTGTTCGAAACCCGCCGTGGCCTCCGAGTCTCGTGGTATCGGCATCTAGATACCTACTATATCCCGTCTCGTACGTGAAGCTTGGAACTTGATCAGCCCAATGGCTGCGTAATCGATCGTTCGGATTCGATTCGAGCTATCGAAACCTCCTCGATCCTGATGTGTGTCTGTTTCCCCCACGCCGAATCGGTCGTTCGTCGTTATCCGCGCGTTCCATGCCGTTGGAAGGATCGCTCCCGTTGCACCCCCCGTTCGCACTTGATTGGTCCCCGAGCAGAAAGCTGTCTCTTTACTTCTGTACTGTGGCAGAGCAGTCGCTGGTAACCGGCCTCATCTAACGGGTTTGTGTTTCTCCGGTCGATCAGGATCCCAAAGAGAGAGCAACCGGTTTCAAAAACAAAGGCAATAACTTGTTCAAAGTTCGCAAGTATAAAGAGGCGATAGAGTGCTATTCTGAGGCAATCAAGGTTGGTTGAGGAATGATTTGATGAAGGGAATCGAAATTCATGTCCATCAATTATTCTTTCGCTAAATTTACGATTATGCTTTGCCAGGTATGTCCAATAGACAAAGTGGACATGCTCTCAACTTTCTACCAGAATCGAGCAGCTGCCTACGAGAACCTGAACATGGTGGACAACGTTCTGCAGGACTGCACGAAAGCTATCGAGCTGAACAACAAGTTCGTCGACGACTAACTTTCTTACTATAATCGTCGGAAATCCTCTCTAAACCCCATCATCGAAAGATAGCGCTTCTCGCCGATCGACATGATGAACGATCTATCATCGATGTCTTTCCCCCGCCACAGGTATTCTAAAGCTTACTTTCGCCGAGCGAAAGCTTTCGAAGAAAAGGGTGAGCTGCAGAAGTGCGTTGAGGACGCAACCGTTTGCGCCGTTCTAGAACAATTCCAGCACGCCAATGCTTTGCAATTGGCTGACAAGGTGAGAATCGCGGCTATGATTGCGAATCACCGGGGAATATATAGCGTTTGGTCCCCAAGGTTCCCTCGAGTGGAGCCCGCGAAATATATTTGATACCCCTGCAATCTAGAAAGGACGTGGGATCACCATCGGAGCCTCATGATGACGTCCGATTGTGATTTCTTATCATGTTCTGTTCACTCTCCGCCGATCAGGTGCTCAAGTCCTTCGCATCCCAACGAGCCAAGGAAATCTTCTCGACCAGAAAGCCTGATCTCCCGGCTTCGTCTTTCATCCGCAATTTCCTCAAATCGTTTTGCGAGGATCCGGTCATCCACGATCTTGAAGCGAAGCGAAGAAACGAGCCGTCAGCTGCCTCTGGACCGCCGTCCGGCTACGACCTGGCACTCCAGGACCTCCTTGAGGAGAAATGGGACCAGGTGATCAAAGTCATCCACGCGTATACTGCTGGGATACCTCCTCGGGAGGGAACGCGAGAGAGCGGAGGGAATCCGATTCAGTGGCTCGTGATTCTCTCGCGCGTTCGACGTGGAAGGACTGGACCTGAGAGATAATTTGGAATTCCAGGTCGAAGGTCACTGTACGGAAGAAATCAGACAAGAACACGATAAGGAGAAACTAGAGAAGGCTCTCCTACTTCGAGCCGGCTTATGCGTCCTGTCCGGCCGCATCGACGATGCAGAGAGAGACGTAGATACACTTCTCTCCAGAGAAAACGTTAACGTCAAGGTATGGAAACGATCCGTATACAAGGCACTCCGATGAAAGAGATCCTGATAGAAATTGGATCATAGCCGCCATGGGGAACATCGTAGAGTGAAATCGTTCCGCCCTTAGGTTCGCGTTAATGCTCTCATCAAGAAAGCCACGGCCGAGGTCCATCGCGAACAGTATGAGCAGGCTCTGGCAACTTTCGAGAAAGCCGTTGGACTCGATCCCAACAATGCCGACATTTACTTGCACAGGTTAGCCTCGTCTAGATTTTTCCTCGATCCCGACCAAGATTTTTCCGATGACAAGACCCCGTCGGTCGGAAGAGATACAATACGTGAGCCTTGCATCTCAATTCATTCTGAGTGATAAGGACGGCAAATCGCAGTCACTTACATCCATTCGAGGAAGGATTCGTCCGAGTGATTAATCGACCCAATCTCTCTCATTCTTTAGGGGCCAAATCTATCTTCTCTTGGATCAGGTCGATCAGACTTTGAGAAATCTCGAGCTGTCAGCTTCGCTGAGACCGGATTTCGTGTCTGCTAACGCTCAGCTAGCCTACAGCAAATACAACTTCGGGAAACGCTTCAACGATGCGCAAGCCGAGAAGGAAGCGAGAGCTATGTTCAAAACATGCATGGAGAAATTCCCCAATGCCGCCGAAGTTTATTTCCTTTACGCACAGGTAAATGTCTCCGAAACTCGACCCCACCAATCAACGGTCTTCGGGCGGGGCTCTCGTCGCATGAGCTCATCTCGCGAGGATTCAAAGCCTCGATTCATGCTGACGGTCGCTTTGGTTGTATTTTCAGCTTTTCAATGAGCAACAACAGCTAGGGGAGGCAGAAAAATACTTCAAGAAGTTCATAGAACTCGAGCCTAGGGACGCCTTAGGCTGGGTGCATCTGGGAATCGTTACGGTCCAATCGGGCCAGAGGGACAAAGGCGTCGAAATGATGATGAAAGCCATAGAGATCGAGCCTAAATGCCAATTCGCCTACGAAACGCTCTCGACGTTCCTGATGCAGATGTGAGTACCACAAATTTTCCCTCATGTATATCCTCGCCCGAATCGGACAGAGGCTTCCCTCGCCGCTGTCTCGGGGAAAATCTCACGCTGGATGCTTTCCAGTGAGCGTTCGGAGGAGGCTGTGAAGATGATCGAGAAAGGCATCGAGCTGGCCCAGAGCGAAGGCGAAATCGCTCATCTGATCGCGTTGAAACTCTCGAGTGAAGTCCAGAACGTTGCGATGCAGAGACTCGGCAACTGAGAAACGAGCTCTTTACCCGTCCGGTGGAAACGACTCGACACACATAGCGAATGAGCTAGCGATCTCGACAACATTGATTCCGTGCATCACGGACGCGAATTCCAAGATATTAGCTCCGGACTTTGATGATACCTACGGAGTGAGGTCCGGAAACCCCTTGCGCATGGAGTGAGTTTGTTGGAATCAAATGACACAGTCCGGGAAAGAAGCGTTCATCAGAACGGATAGAATCATCGAGCGGCTATCATTGAAGCGAGCGGTTGAACGACTGAGGGGAAGGATTGATTTGATTTTCCGAGAATGGGGATACAGCGGTTGAACTGTTTCAAATGAAACAAATATGTCCGACAGTGATTGTCGGACGGGAGTCGATTGTTCTGTGGCACGGGCAGGTGAACCACCAATGGTGGTGGTCTGCTCGGCCCACTGTTGAACGGAGGTGCGAATTCTCGCCCTCTCTTGGCCATCGTTTATCCATGATTCTTGAGCAGTTGCAGGTGCAGCTCACGGATCGCTCTCTAGAAACTCAATTTGGCTGAAGCGGGGGATGCTTGCTTTCCGATATCAGCTGGGTCATTGTGCTTCTTCCTTTAACTCACCCTAATAAAACAGAGGTTTTAGTTTTCCGACTTCTGTCTTTTATTTTCCTCACGAAGCAGCCCATCGAGGAAACGATCCATTCATCGATGGAATGTTCCGGGACCGACCCCAGCTTCATTTGATGCGGAATACAAGGGATGTGACAGTTCTGCCAGTGCTGCCGCCGAACGAAAAAGTTGGTGCAGGGAGTTCCGATATCAGTTCGAAGTCTGAGGAGAATATTTCCGGGCATTTACTTGAGAAGCTCCGCAGAGAGTTCGTTCTCGCGGATCGAGGACGCACTGGATTTTGACTCCGTGGAATCATCCGCTACTTTCGAACGAGAGTCATCGCAAACCTTTTCCGAAACAGGGATAACCGTCTCACCTCCTCTGAAATGAACGAGGAGCTCGTCCTTCGTCCAATTGCATGACGTTATCAAGAAGAGAACCGAGTCGCTGTTTTGCTTATTCATCAAACGCTTGATCGACTCGATGTACTTCCTCCTCACACCATCGCACATTCCCGGCATGAGACAGATGGCGTCATACGTTCCTTTATCCACAATGACGTCGAAGGCTCCGCTGCACTCAGTCGACAACAGATCGCCCTGCTGAAAATTCATTACAGATGAGTTTTCGGATAGTAGAAAGCAGAACCTCGAAAGAATCATGCTTACCATGAATGTTATCATCGGAGCGACCCCTGAATCGGCAGCGATCCTCCTGGCCAGAGACAGCGCTTCTTCGACGTAGTCGATCCCAGTGAGGTTCTCGAAACCTTCATCATCAGCCTGACGAGGGGGAAAGCATGAGGTTACCGAATTCAAAATAACGATCGAGAAAGCGCGTCATGAGTCTATCGGAGGAGGGAATTGAATGGTTCTCGTGCAGAATATGAGCAATTACTATTCTCATCTCTCACCAGTGTGACCAATAAGTGCCCGTTCCCGCAACCGATGTCGACGACCGCTGCTTTCTTGTCGCAATGGCGGGCTAGATATTTGACGATGCGACGTTCGATCTGCTCTCCGAACCTTGAAAAAACAGTGCTCTTCGGAAAATCAACGATGAGGTTTCTGCTGTTCGATTTTTATTCATTTTCCTGACGGAATCGCCCGCGGCCTACCAAACTTCGCCTGCATCGCCGTGATCCTCAAAGTTCCGTAGCTCTTTTTGGTAAGCTGATTTCCAGCTGAGGGAAGGACACACGACAGTGAGTGAAGCAGGAGAAGACATCCAGAAGCCCCCCAGCTGGAGCGAATAGAATTCATGGTGCCACTACAGGTGGTCGAGCACTCACTATTCCGCAGTCCCCAATTCCGACGAGGTGAGCTCTTCGATTGGATCCGCCATGGCCCGCGGCGCGTTCAACGCGGAGTCATCTGAAAGAAGTTCCATCAAAACAACGATGATTCCGCGCGGCCTGACTGGAGCTATATCGATACCCTGCTGGACTTGTGTATCCCCTATCTAGCTTCGGAATCGGGAACCTGCAAGCTATGCACAAGCGAAGCGCTCGGAATCTCGAAAAGAGGCGGTCGTTCGCGCCATGTCTGAAAAGACGGCGAAGGATCCGAACGCGCCGCAGCTGAGTTAAACTCATCGATTTATGACGTACTGATTCTGCGTGAGACGAGTACTCCCGATGTTTTCGCCGTGCTCGGATCATGATGAGCTGCAGCAGTTTATGCTGGTTCGGCGGCAATTTCGAATTCTCAGGTGAGTGCTCTCTCCCAGCATCGGAGAGAGGATTCTCAGGGCCTCATAAGAGCATGGCAGTGTCAGGGAATCAGAAGAGCCTTTGCCGAGGGGCTGGGGGCGTCAGAGAATTCCGGATTCTGAAGTATCTTCTATTCCGCTGCATCCTCTACCGGCATGTCATCTCAGCCTATCGCTGGATCAGTAGTCTCAGGGGGACGTCCGAGAAACGCTGCCGGGAGGAGGAATTCGCGCGGTCCTGCAATCGATTCCAGACGCGATTCAGAAGGGATTTCTAGCGTCGGCGAGATCAAGGTCGAGAGACGCCTAAGATGAGGCGGCTTGCTTTCGATTCGCAGGCCGTCGACGGCAGGTGACTCTGTGGAATGTCGGACTTGAAGCAAGTTTCCTGATTTCTGAGAGAGGAGAAACATTCCCTCAATGCCTCTCCATAGCAAGAGAGGAGCCGGACGCCCTTCCCGCCCGGGCGTTTTTAAACCCAATCACATGTGAATCTCTCTTCCAGTCGTTCCAAAATTGTACCAGCTGCAACGATTCGTGATATCAGACAGAACTGTGCTCTCAGGAAAATGCAGTAAGTAGAATTCGTACGAAGTTTCCCACGCGATTGGGGCTCGTTTCGTCGGGATCTCCTCACGAAAGAGACCGAGCTCCAATGTTTGTGCATCGGACCTGTTTTCGTATGGCCAAGTGCTCCCGAAGACGATCCGATTTTGTCCGACCGGAAGCTTTCATGATCCATCGGAATGACTCGGTTCCGCTCCGAGATCTCGGCTCAGGGAAGATCCCTTATCATAAATGTCCGACAGAGCTCTCTGGGTCACAGCAAGAGGGTATATGTCCGCAGCAGAATGTCAGATAATGGAATCTGAAGCAATTAAGAATACCCAACGTCATCTTGCTACGGTATGTGCTGGACATTTCTGCTTGGAATCCGCTGTATTCCCGGGGAGTCGCTCTCTCGTTCGATGTGAGGGGATCTAACCCGAGCCGGACGATAAGAGAATCCGAGGCACTGAAGAATTGATTTGAGAGCGTAAATCAGCGTCGAAGTTTGTAGCGAGCCCGTCGCTACTCCTTGGGTTTGTCCCCGACTTCCGGAAACAGTTAACTTCACTCAACTGAGGGTCTATCGAGCGAACACCGAATAAGACAATCTGATTGCGACTCCTCCGTGCAGATTGCCGAGAATATCTAGGAATGTTGTTAATCCTGCACGCCGTAGGGATTGGCTCCTTCGTTCGAATGCGAGACGGTATTCTACACTACAGCATGCATAGGCGCCGACGGACGACTGAGTGTCGACGAGTAGTCTTCGCGCCACTGAGGCCGCCACCTGTTTGCTTTGAAATCGGAAATCAAATTTCCAGACAACGCATACAACACAGTCAGAATGAGGCTCATGTGTGAGAAAATGTGCGGTAGGGTTCATTTTCAGCTTTTGCTGCGGTGCAGCCACGGAGCGCTCCCTTGTCCATCGGTGTTCCGTAGCTCCGTGAAATTTCGCCGCAAGGCGCCCCGTTAAACCAAACAACTCAGTACGAAGATTCCTACATTTCGGCCGGTTGCCCGAAGACTTATGGTCGAAAAGCTCCTTTCGATAGGCATGACTTCCAGGGTTGGGGACCCGTTCTCGCTGGTACCAGCGCGTCCTTCTTGACGAGATAAGTCGTGTTTGAAACATTTATCAGAGTGGAATTCGAGTCCGACGATGTTGTGTGCGTTATCGGACTCGGTAACATGCATTGAAGGAAAACTGCTCCAATAACGAGGGCAGACGAGTGTTTGAAACCGTGGGCTTCCTAGCTCGGATCCCTCCCCTCTCAGGAGTTGATGTTTATCGGATCGATGCGAGAGCAAGGGGCCTTCGTTGTGATCCTTAGAGATGACACTGATCGCATTTGACAGGCCGATTCGGATTCCTCAAAACCGGGGAGGGCTCGCTCGCAGTAAACCGTATTTCGCTTGCGCATCTCTCGTGAACAGCATTCTCCGCTGATGCAGAATATCACACCGCTCTATCGAAACCCTTCTTGGGATTTGCTCAAGTGATCGGGATTCCAACACTCGCGGCAAGCTTCTCGAAGACCACCGGATAGATACACTCTATCTATTACCAATCAAGATCCGAGCATGAGTTGCGTTTTCCTCCAACGGAAAGGTTTTCATTATCACCAACAATGACGCAGCTTTTTTCGAGCCGTGAGTTATCCCCATTATCGAGATCTAATGAATGAATTCGCGTCTTTCCATTATCCCAACCTAATCGGGATCTCAGATAAGTACGTCCGTGGCTCGGTTGCATCTTTATCGCGTACCTCTCCGTCACTGTGAACTTCTCATCCTTGTCTGGACAGCGCGTCACGGCGCGGCGTATTTGGCGTGATTCAACCTCTCATTAGAGATCGGGCGCCCCCATTTCGCGGGGAATCGATCTCCGACCGGGGCGAGCATCCTGCGATAGAGGAATGTCTGTTCTTCCCAAAATCCTCCTCCAGTGCCTCACATCCAGTTCAGGATGAAGACAGATTCATTGTCAGTATCGAGAAGCTCGGCGGACCAGCGATTTCCGAGAATTCAGCGGTTTTGCGCCGAGGCCGATCGATATCTGAGCGCTCCCCCGACGAGGCGAGGAGAGCGGGGGCTCTCCCGCGTCAGGGGGACGGGGGCTCTGGATCCTCAACCGGTAGATGAAACTCCACGATTCGAGTTCACCCCCACCTGCTGACCGGAGGTTCTCCCATTCCACGGGGTCCGGAGAATTCCTCTTCATCGAGGCTCTTCTATTCGGCGATGAGAAAGAGGGGAAAATTATCAGAGACAATTATGTGTCACTTACAGGTCACTCCGCCACGCATTCTGTCTTGTGCGACCCTCGCCGAATCTAATGAGGCAGCGGAAACTTCATTTTTACGGCATGACGGAAACCCATCGGATGATACAGGAAACTTGTCGAGATTTCGCTGAGAAGGAGTTGAAGCCAATCGCAGCTGATATCGATCAGACGGAGATCTATCCAAAAGAACAAGTACGTCCGTCCGCCCTCCCCACCGCCGCGCTGAGGTTGCGACAGCACGCGGCCCGCATGGGTCTGTTGATTACTCTCGAGTCTGGAGACGAAACAAAGCTGAGGTTTCTAAGCGTCTAATTTTGATCGTTCTCAGATAAAAAAGCTCGCCGACTTGGGAATTTTCTCAATGATGACTCCGACTGAATACGGCGGGACGGGCTCGGACACTTTATCGTATGCGCTCGCATTGGAGGAAATATCCCGGGGTTGCGCCTCGACGGGTGTGATAATGAGCGTTCATAATTCCTTGTACATTAGCGGAGTCCTGAAATTCGGAACGGAGGAGCAGAAACGAAAATGGGTCACTCCATTCAGCACGGTAGGTCGTTTTAATACGATAATAATAGAAGCTGAGGGACATATTTTCTTTATGAGAAGCTCGTGGATGAAATCGCATCGATCAATGGGGTGTGCACCGAGGGAACTCGCCGGTGCTACTTCCTGGGGAGAAATGGCCCCGTCCATGGCACCGCTGAGATCTCTCTCTCTAATGATTTCCGTCTTCCAAACAGGGCGACAGACTCGGATGTTTTGCCCTCACCGAACCAGGAGTGGGCTCAGACGCTGGCGGATTAAGCACTTCGGCACGAGTCAACGGAGATTCGATCGTTTTGAATGGGACCAAAGCCTGGATTACGAACGTTGCGGAGGCGGAAGCAACTTTGGTTTTTGCGACGAACGACAGGAGCAAAAAACATCGGGGTCTGAGTGCATATCTCGTACCCATCCCGACGGCGGGGCTCGATCGGCCGAAGAAGGAGCGCAAACTCGGAATCCGAGCCTCGTCGACCGGGCCCATCATTTTCGAAGATGTCGTAATTCCAGAGGAGAACCTGCTCGGAAAACAAGGTGAAGGCTTCAAAATAGCGATGACGTTACTCGATGGCGGAAGGATCGGAATCGCGGCCCAAGCTGTCGGAATCGGTCAGGCGGCTCTCGACACCGCCGTCGAATACTCGGCCAAAAGAGAATGTTTCAACCAACCCATTCACAAGCTGCAAGCCATTCAGCTCAAGATCGCAGACATGGAGATGCGATTGAACGCCGCTCGCCTGCTCATCTATCAAGCCTGTTTCATGCGCGACAGCGGCTTAAGGTTCTCAAAGGAAGTTTCCCAGGCCAAAGTTATGGCGAGTGAAGCTGCTACATTTTGTGCGCATCAAGCCATCCAGATTTTGGGGGGCATGGGTTTCAGCTGCGAAATGCCCGCCGAGCGGCACTACAGAGACGCGCGCATCACGGAGTTGTACGCTGGCACGAGCGAGATCCAACGATTGATCATAGCAGGTCACGTTTTGAAAGAGCACGGTGTGCTATAATTGTTATTTCGTTGACCGTACTTCTAGGAGCGTCTTCGCTGTGCCGCCTGACGCTCCAATGTGTATTAACACGGTCTGTTTATATTGATATGTATTTAAGGAATGCATCGTGATTCTATCGATGGCCCGGTTCCAATCGATTCAAAAATCTAATGGTACGTTTCTGGAGGGGAAACTCGTGGAGGAGTTTTTTTGCACAAATAAAAACGAAGGCAAATGACGGACGATGTCGCACTTTTTTCATGTCGCTGTCAGGCTCGTAGCGAGGAGAAGAGGCTCCACACCCGAGCGTCGCTATCGGGAGGGCGCCGCCGAACGGTCGATAGCATCCAAGAAACGAAATGTTTTTGATGAGTTTCGGTGAGACGGGGGCCATATCTGTGATATGAATTAGTGTGCCGGGAAGAGGCCAGAGCGCGATGGTACCATGGAACCGAGTCTACGTAACACGAAACCGAACAGCGCTGCTTTCTCGCTGTGTTGTCTGACCGAGTTGTCAACCAACGGTGTCGCTTGTCTGCACATGGGTAGAGAGCGAAGGGTGTTCCATAGGCGATTATATTTTCGCGCCCGTCATGAAACTCTACGCTGAAGTAGTCGTATCAGCAATACGCCTCATTGGAGACTAACTCAATTGGGCTCTGAGGCTTCTTTCTCTCAGAAGATGAATTCCAGCCACGCGCATTCTCGTGTACTCATCTGTTTTGTTTCGAGCCCTGCTCGAGCCCCGGTGATCGTATAAGGGTAGGACTGGAAGATCTATTTTGTCCGTCCTAGCCAGAGAAGGACGGCCAATAAAGCAATAAAGAAGAGAACTGCAGAATTCCGTCGTCTTCGAAGCTGTTGTCTGTCGGATTTTGAACGATTTTGCTCATATCGGTTTGGAGCTATAGCCTACAACCATAAAGTGACGGCCTCGTTCCGGAATCACAACATCATTCAAAGTCACCCAGCTCCGAGTCGGGACGATTTCGAGCTGCAAGGCTCTGACATTCAGAGATTGCTCAATTCTCCCTCTTGTGGATCCTGAATCACATTGCGAGAAGTACATAGGGGAGCCGTATCTAAGATTCGGATCAAGCGTTCTGCTTACCTTCCTCTCGAACGAATTCGAGGCAATCGTTAGCGCAAGTGTTGCGTTTCCGAAGAGTTATTGGGGCGACGCGAGAATCCTTGAACTATTCGGCGCCCATGCTCAATACCGCTCCACCACGAGATCTCCCCACTCGTTCCCCTGACGCTGCATGGCAATGCTCGTGGCCAAGCGGTTCAAACTATTCCAAGCTTCCGCTTCCCTTCATTGCCCTAGAGCTCGCTTCCGGTGGTCGCCGAGATCAAAACCGAGAATTCGAGACAATGCCCCTGGAGTTCTGATTAACGACTCGCAGGTCAGAAGTTGTGCACCACCGCAAAGGTGAAAACAGGAAGCCAATCCGGAAGAGGTCGCCGGCTCACAAAGCATGCGACCAAGGACGACCATGAGGCACACCTTCGTTAAAAGCCCTTATCTGGGCTCAAGCGATTAGCGCACGGTCCGAACGATCGACTCACCCGTAGAGCGACCACACGGTGCAAGCGGCCGAGTACAACACAGACCGGGGATATGCCCACGGAAACCGGCTGGCGGATCGTGTGCATTCGCGTTTCTCCGCAATCGGAAGCGGGCGCGGGAGGTATCGTGTGCACCTGCGCATCACAAACTCGATGACGACTTTTCAAAAGGAACAGCAGCTGTCCGACGGCGACCAAAAGTTACCGGACGTCACTACCTCCGATGTTACCGAGAAGCGGATGGCTTTCGCTGTACTCCAGCAACCCAAGACATATCGACTCGTTGTGAGTTTAGAATCGCGTTTTGAGTGGATAGATCGCCCCGACCGACGTTCCCTGACCGTTCTCTCCGGCGTCGTCCGTCTTGCAAAGAGAATCCTCGGTCTCATCTCACAACAAGGTAGCCGTTTGGTGGATCGCTCGAATTATTCCGATTCGAGCCTCTCTGATCAGAAACCCCCAAATGATCGCTTTATACACCATGCGAGCAGCATCGGTGAGGGATCCCTCGCTGAGGAGCTGTGTACTGAATGTCTTGGCAAGCAGCGAGTCGATCAAGTCGCGGAGGAGCGGGAGACCCTATGGCGCCGCGCGAAATCAAAAATCGAATTTCCTTCCTGTCTTTCCATGGTGCTCTACACAACGACGGTAACAGGAAGGAATGAAGGGAAGATAGAAGGGACTGACTCAACTCACCGAGGGGTGTTATAGCAGATTTGTCTTGATTCCGACGGGGTTTTCGGCGCCTCCTTCCCCTCTGAAATTGCGCGACGTTGTACGCTAAGAGAAGCGAGACACCAGGATGATGTTCTCTTCAGCTTTTCTCTACGTAGCTATTGTTTGAGCGTCTCTCAATCTCAGCCTCACTCCGTTTCAATCGAACTCCAATTAGTGCCTCATCGATTCACTGCCTCCTGAATTCGGGATGACCAACTCGACGTGGGAGATGTTTTCGCCTTTTTTTTCTGGCGTCTACAATTACGGCTCCCGGTGAGTGGCCGCGGAGCTCAGGCCGAGGACGACCGAATCGATCCCAAGGACTCGAGCGCGAACTCGAATATATGGCCTGATGAAGGATCACTCGATCTGTACGTAATAACACGTCTCGTTTTGCCACATCAGTGAGCCTCAATACGCACGGACACGTATCCACGCATCAGATGCTCCGGGAAGGCTCCAGGGAATCCGAGATAGTGATTAACCGCTAATTCGCGTTGCTCCCTACTCAAGACAGTCCAGCTGAATGCTTCCATCAGCAATCACTGGATGGAGGATCACAGGATAACCCTTCCGTATCGGTATTGAAATCCCGAATTCCATGCGCAGAACTCGCCGGGAGAACTGAACTCGAACTTCTGTCAGGGGATATCGCAACAGGATCATCGTTTGACGATGCGAGCGAGCCGCTTTCAAGAACACCACTCTAATCTCGTATGAGAGGAGAGAAACAGGGATTTTCGGCTCGGAATGAACGGAGCAAAATCAGAGAGCCACCAAAGAGGAGTGATATTTTCCTTCATCCATAAAAAGTCTTCGACAAGTTCTGCAGGAGAGAAGGCAAAGAAGAGCCACTTAGGATATCGTCCCGCCGACCTTTTCCCGCGTTTCTCGCCCCTTCGACCCTCCCCCCCCCTACGCTGCTCGGTCGTCTCCGGAGCCAAAGCGAGCGGGGTACAGAGTTTCGATGGTCGGACGAGATCTCTGAGTAAGCGGCGCTGTATATTCGCGCGCGTGAACGAGTGAAAGTGTTCGTGCGGATATCCTTCCGTCGGTTCTGGTGCACAGTCGCGCGGATAAATCATCTTAATCCCTGACTTTCAATTTTTCGGTAGCTTATCAATTCTTTCCTCGCTTGAGGCTTAGACCAACTTCTTAAAAATGTTAGCTGCAAGGCTTAGATTTGCGCCGAGCGGAATGATTCCAGGCCGAAGGCCCGCCGGCTAGCCTCTGCGGAGGAGCGGTCCAAAAGTTTCATTTTTTCGAAGCGGAAAAATCCCCTCGGCGCGAGGAGATGACTTGGGTGAGTCGGACGACGAATCAGACACCGGGTGAGCTAATGCCCAGTGCCCATATTTGCATCGCGGATCTACTTGTCCCTCTCAGTCCCAAAGTCGCGTAGGAGCGCGGCTCTCGTCCCCGACATGAGCTCTGAACCGTTTTGCTCCCAAATTCGTTTTCCCTAATCGAGCTCATCATCATGTCTAGTTCGCACGCGCCCCTGACCATGGGCGCTTCTCCTCGGAGCGCCTCGCACTAACGGTGGAAATGCAAGACATTCTGGGAGAGGAGAACTTTCTGATTTCTCCATGCCAGAAGCAGCGGGAACACGTAGAGCGCGCTGACTGGGATCCGTCGAACATCACATCAATAAGACCGCATGAACGATTCCCGCGATCTTCGACTCCGCTCGAGGTAGCGCGGTAAGGTCCCCCGGAGGCTGGAAGATAAAGAGACCAAACTTAGTTCGACCTCGTACGCATCATCAATTATATTGACGAATCTGAGCATCGTCTCCGTTCCTATCTCGCGCGTCGTCTTCCTTCCGAAGTGTAACATACGGAAGTGATATAAACTCGCAGCACGTATGAACAGCGGGAGAAAAAAACTAAATGAAGCCCGCAAAGAGGGATTCCTTCGCTTCTAAGCCCGCTTCCAGCGTGGGATCGTCACGCGTCCTGAGCACAGTCGAGCGGAGAGACGGTGGGCTCCACTGCGGCTAAACATGCGGGTGGAAAAAAGACACTGAGTATAACTCCTTCTCGCGTTTGAGAATGATAATCGGACTTTGCGAGCGCAAGACTCACAAGAACCAAATAGATAACACGGAAATTAGTTCCCGTCTTCTATTCACTGGATCCTTGTCGACTCTCCTACAGGACCCGTTCGAGCCTGTTCCTAGATGGTCGCCCCTCTTCCTTCGCTCTCTCCGTCCGTTTCCTCTCCCACGCCGATCTCCTTCCCCTCCCTGTTCCCACCATAGAATGCCCCTCTTGACTCTTGAAGTCGAATCGACCTGGAGCTATGTACAACTATCCGCCTCCTCGTCCCACCGACCCGTGGTACGTGGGACCAACTTTGGGCACCATAAGCGCAAAAATGCCGACGACGATATGACACGCGCAGAAGTAGGTAGCGGCGAATGATCACGCCGATAGGAGTGCCTCGGTGGAGGATATCCCATGTCCCATCAATGTCCCATGTCTCTGCAGCATCTGCCGACCCACCGGACTAATCTGGGTGGGGATGCTTGTTTTTTCCGTGGGGTCGATCGCGAATTTTTCGAGGATGAGCTATGAGATACGGCAAGGAGTCTCCCCTCAGCAGCCTATCGTCGTCGTGATATAGCATCCTCGTCATCAGCATAGGCAGGGCTGTCTTCGTCGTTGTTGTTACTGCGGCGTCCCCCGAAGGAGAGCGGGCGTCGATGGATAACTGGCAGACCACACTGTATAAAAACGTTTCCTGTTGCCATGAGCGCGATGATACAGTCTGGTCGGTCGGTCGTTCGATCTGCCCGACGACTAGCTCGATGGGTGAGGGCTAGATGGGATATGTTTTTTGCACGGATGCCAGGAAAAAACAACTGGCGCCACCTGTACGAATCCCCCGTCACGGCCTAACATCCGACGGGGTGTGCAAGCGACATCTCTGTGAGGGGACTCACACTTAAACTCATCGGTGTGAATGGCCGAAAAGGATTCCCCGGTCCTCGGATGAGGCGAGAGGAACAAGAGAAGGAAGCCCAGGTCAGCTAGCTAGAAGGGGGAATGGATTCGTGAGGTCTCGGAGTTTCATCGCGACAGCATATGACTCGCCATCACCGACTCGCACCCCGCCATGAGGAGTTCACGACTCCCAAGAATCGATACGATTGGAGTACAGTCCCCGGGAAATGCGTCCTGCTGGAAGAGATGAATTCCCACTCTACTTTCGAATCAATCGAATGGCTAATTAGATGAAAACGCGGAGGAGGCGACATTCAATCGCACGATCCAGCTGATACGAAAGTCTTCTCCGACGACAAACCTCGCCCGGATTCTCTTGATAGAACCGTCATAAAAACCAGGGGGCCTCATGAAGTATGCAGTCGCTCGTCCCGCGGGAGGACCGTTCTTATAACAGCGAACATATGAACGGATATATGTACATATGCCGATGGGGAGGGACACCATTGGGTTTTCAGGCTGTAATAACGGAAAACACAATAAGAAACAAACGCGGTGAGCCATTTCAAGTGCTCGAAGAATGAGGCATGAAGTCATTTCTGAGAGAAAAATCACGCTCCGTCGAAGACTTAGTTTTAGGAAGGCTTGGAGGCCCACATCGGTCAATCAAGGGTGTAGCTATCATTGCGAACTTGGGAATCTTCACGTTTAGCCGAAGGATTGTGCATCAAGTCGGACTCTGGTACCCATCTGACCTCATCGCTTCAGCCCTTGGTCAAAAACGCCTCGGTGATACACCTTCATAACTCAGGTCGCGAGAATGTTGACTGAACGTCCTTTGTGAACAGAAAGAATTCGCAGAGATACAGACGCGATATTCGTGACCAGTAGACGTACGATGGAGGTGGAGGAATTTTCGGAGATTTTCATTTGGCTGTTTTCAACTCGTGGAAGGGCGCAGCACAAAGCCTGCGTCACAGTGCTCCTGATCGGGGGGGAATGTGTAACATCACAGAAGAGTCTTATCCCGTCAGAGACAGTTGACCAGTCAATCAAGCCGCGATAGTCTAGGTAAGGTATAGACTCTCGAAGGGAGCTTGGATTCTTCGCGAGGTGTCACGCTCGTATCGAGGGAGATCATTTCAATTAGATGAGGGTATTTGATATCAAGCCGAGTCGGGAGCAGGATCTCTTTCAGGGTCTCCGAGTCAACCATCTCGACAAGGGCTCGCGGATATTCATGCTGTCGAACGCAACGAATCCGCATCTTCACAAGTATTCTTGTGTAGGTTCTAGCTTACAAATGGTGCTTCAACCATTCTCATTTGAGAATATTGACCAAGAGACGAAGACTATCTCCTTACGATCCATTTTCCTAGCTAGGCTCGGCCATCCGAACATATCATGAGATTTCAGCATCAAATCGACCCAGTCATCAATCTCGACTCTAGAAGGAGAAGAATGCTCAGAGACTATCGAGTCTAGCCTCTGTTGTTCCCCAATTCCGCGGGGAGAACTCGTCATACAGCTAGGCTGGACGACCTCGAATTTTTCGGGGTTTCGTGAATAGCAAGGTGTCTCAGTCAGGACGATCATTCGACTGTCGAGAGAGAGATGCCTCAATCGACGGGCACTTCCCCGATGTCGAGAGCTCGCATTCCTTTCTCCCTCGATCTCGGATTCGCGCTTGGAAGCGCATGACTTCTTCGATGCATGATGCTTGAGCCGGAGTAGTCGGATTCGTTCCGAGACTTCTCATTCTCCCATGAAACGCGCTGGAATTCTCTCCGCGTCCCACCAAGACCAGGAATACACTTCAAACGATGTGGGAGTCGGTCCCCGATTCAAGTCAGCACTCCCCAATCGTTTAAGGAGTTGAATCTTCCCTAATTGAATTCTCATGTTTCACCCCTCGTCTCAGGATAGTACCGAACACGATTCGGCTCTCCGACTAGGAAATTCGCTCCGCGAGGACTTCCCAGCAATCGAGAAAGTATTTACGCCGACGCGTCCCGATGTGCCTTTCCTCTCATTGAAACAGTGAATTCGGTGGAAAATCATCGAGTGTCATTGGCCGAGGCAAGAAACGCGTAATTAGGGAGAGAAACTTCTTGATTCAGGGATAGGATTGGCCTGAGCTGGATTTCATCAAACCTTGCTATCCAGAGAGGTGAACGGTACGCACGGGACCCAAAAGTTATGGACAGTTTGTGCTGCTGAGAACTTCCCTGCCGATGCTCGGCGAGTGTGGCCATGATCGTGGTGAAGGTCGGGCCTGACCCCATAGCAACGCGGCCACACAATGTGGGGTCCAAAACACACATGGAGAGGTCACCAAATCCGCCCATGGTGCAGCTTCAACCCTTCCCCCCGACCGCACGACCACCATCAGACCCCTCGCTCACGATTCTTCTCTCTACGGTCGGTGTGATCAGCCGTCGGGAAAGCCCTCCATGGGAAATGAAATAAAATTCTACCAGAACGTCCACCAAAGTGATCTCAAGAGTTCGCATACTTCCGGCTTGAGAATCTGCCTTCCTCTCGAAGGGGATACCGACAACCGTGTCTCGATTCCGTGGTGCATGCGCGCATGTCGATGTTTACAGAGTGAAGCTATCGTGACAAAAAGCTGCAAACGCAAACTCCCGGGCCATAGGGCCGAGCGTCGTACGCTCCAACTCATCGTTCAAGCTTCTTACGTAACGTGGGCAGAACGTAGCCAGAAGAAATGAGGAAGCCAGGCTTTTTCGAGACCTCGGAGGCCGACATACATGAAAAACTTCGGCGAAGGAAAGCCGCCATGGACCGGGAGATATGCGCGACTCTCGTTAGACACTGAACGGTGCCTCTCCTGCCATCGGAGCGAATTGCGTACGGGAATCAGCGAGCTAAACGAGACCCGTGATGGAGGATTTCAATCGGCACAACATCCACGCCTTGGAAATGAATCACGTAGACTTCGACAGGTACGATAGACGTGCGTCGTCGGTTGCCACCGTCGAACAACTTGAGACGCAAGACCAGAAAGTGAAAAATCAACAGTTGGCCAACGCAGCCTATATCGGCTTGTTGACGATCATCATCAGTTTCGGTGAGTAGACGGGCGATCTTAACCCTCCCTCTTGACTCTGGTGGTCTCTATCTACGATTACAGCACATCGACGCCCTTGATCGACATCTGATCATTGTCGGATTCCTCTATCCGCAGACCGATTGGGAGCAATGTCTCGCTCTCCTTCGACGAGCTCAAAGAGAGGAGACATCATTGACTCCGAACGATATACATATGTAGTCCTATCAGGGAGACTCGTGGAAGGCTCCGCGATCCTCTTGAGCAGCCGAGAGGCGATGCTCTCTGACGGTCGAACACGCCATCGATGGGATTTATGGCCCTGCCGGTCACTTCAGGCTACCCCTCACCTATATGGTATATCGTATGGATCCCTAAACGGTCCGGAATTGTCATGAGTACGGCAGCGATCGAGTCGCCACTCAGATCACGCATTTATGCAGCTCCGTGAGACTTGCTGCCTCTGACTCAGCTAGTGCGACTCCACAACGTCGACAGACTCCGGGACGCCTGATAACAAGCAGCAATGGCGAGCAGAGTTCTCGTGATGCGCATTACGATTCCACAGGAGTGCGCTAGTGCGATACCAATTTTCAAGAAAATCCATCGACCGTTTCCTTATACCGAGAGATGGGGAGATCCGTCAAGTGTCTGACCCACGGATCAATGAATCCATTGATTGCTTGTCGACGATAAGTTTGCGGAAATTCTGACAAGAATGAGTGAATATTCTCTCGAGCTCATGGAGCTGATATGTCGCCACTAGACGCCTAATGGAGTTTTGTGTGGGTGAGCCCACAAGCGATCGTGACTGAAGTGTAAGCACTGGGTCTTCACGCTAGGCAGCACTCGGCCAGCAATTACTGGAACAGAAAAATGTAGTCAGATGCTCCATGACCTTGCGTCGCGAGATTGTGTGGCGTCAAAAATGCGCGACCTTCGAGCTCGTCGTGGCGAATCAGGTCAGGGTGAGCCGAGGGCCGTAATACCATTGCTGCCATCAGCGATCTTATTAATCGACGAGTCCTGCGATGACAACACATCTCGTCGCCGTGTTCGCGCCGTGGCAGGCCCTGCACCATTCTCGAATAGGGGAGAAAGTATCTACTATGTCGATATCCGGGTTTGTCTTCAATTGCTCGAGTTTACATGGGGGTCTCGGCCGATCCGGATTCTCGGGGAGAGGCGTCCCAGAACTGTTCAGACACGAGACACGAGCCGTCAAGGGTGGCGCAATCGCCCCTCCGAATTCCCCCTTCTATTCGGAGATTGTCTCGCCTCAGAGGTGGCATACCCGACAAGGGGATTCGATGTTCCATCGAGGAAATATGATGAAGCTGGTTCATCGGATCATCCCGTTCGAGTACTACCGTTCCGGGAACAAGCATGATCTATGTATTCCGGAAGCGTCGTCAGACTCGCGGTATCTGGTTCTCTCGTCTCCGACATCCATTCTGGGAAGGAATCCTGTCAGTCATGAGCAGTTCTCATATCAAGGAAGTCACGATTGACTCGTGGCATAGTTCTGTTGCGCCGGTGAACGAGGAGCCGAACACTGCCATCCATTCGCTCCAAAAATGGGCTCCGCGTATTTATATCTCCCGAACCGGCGTATTCATTCATGCCTGCTAGCCTATTTCTGTGACATAACGGTTGCGTCGACGTTCACGGAATGGCGGAGAGGACGAGAGAGAGAGGGAGGAATAGCTCGTCGAGTGCAGCTGAGAGTCTCCGGCGCTCCGTACCGAAACTCACGGATTTTGAAGGACTCCGAGCCAGGAACAGTTTTGACTGCACGGCTCGTTTATTTCTCCGACGATTGAGTGAGGAGAAATAACGCTCCTCAGATCCTCGGAATTCTCAAGGCCCTCGCCTCGCATCCGGATTAAATCCTGAATCAAATTCGTCGAATCGGGAGGGAGATGTCGACTTCCGCGCGGACCGTCGACCCCTGAGGGGTGATATTGAGAGAAATGCTGCACGTCTGTCGTCCAGCCGACAGACTATCATCAGCTGCGGGCTCCGTGACGAGCACTCCATGATTGGAGTTTAAACTCGACGGCTCGAAAACCGGTCAGGGGGCAGGGCTTGACGAAGGTCGCTTTGCCTCGCGGAATCCTCCGCAAGGTCAATATCAGCGCGGCAATTGCATGTTCCCCCAAGGCCTGAACCTGCTGCTCCGGCAGGTTGCACTCTCCATCGCGGGATGAGGTGCCCGGAATAACTGATTCGAGGGTCGCGGATTCCGGGAACAATCCCGAGACGTTCCAACGGGCCTTCGAGGGTTTCATTCGTAGAAAATCATTCATACGCACGGTTGTTCGAGATTTTGTGATCCGGAGTCAGAGTCTCTCACTCGGACCATTCTTGCGAGAAGCCCCGATGGGGCGGGGGGGGGGGCGAGGGGAGAGTTTTCGTCAGATAATGAAATTTCATCTTTTCCCCCAGTTTCCGCATTCGTCTTACTCGCATCGTTCATGACGGCGGAGTGGGAGTTCTTGCTCCATGATCGTCAAGCTATCCTCAATCTGACATCATCGGGGCTACCGGAGAACATCTTGAGCATTGCTTCACCAGAGTGGTCAGACAATGTAGTTAAGGTATGAAATCTGCGCTTTCTGGACCGGAGTCGAGAGGGCTTTGAGCGATGACAGTACCGGAATGCGTCCCTCGACTGACTGAGCGGATAAGTCATGAGTTCCATGATTCCCACCTCTATCCCTCTTTCCCTTTAATCACAGAGGCGGGAGAAGGGAATGAATGATTTGCATTCGCAGGTGGAGATCCGCGTGGTGGAACGGATCGATCCTCTGGATCCGAACAGCTCGACTACCGAGAAGAATCGAACGACGTACCTCGTTGATCTGAGAGCTGGAATATACCAGGCGTGCATTGTGCTTCCAGGTAGGACCAGGCCCTTTATCGAATCAGGAAGAGTTGCAGTAGAGCGTACGAGCGAGTTTCGATACCTGGGGGTTCCTGGGAATTTACGTCTGGATATTAGTTTACCTTCGTCGTTGTCGTCCTCCTCCTCTTCCAGAGCAAGAGAGAATCCACGCGGAACGTGTGGGGGCTTTTCCATCATGCGTCTCGTATTTGGCGCTGACGGAAGACATCAATCGAAAGAGGCTCGTCGACCTCTACCCTTGGCTTGAAAGTGAGTGGAATCGACGAACGATGCTCGCGCAAGAATATTCCGGAGCCTTCAGAAGAAAGGAAGGCGAGGGGGGAGGCTGGCTGGCCGGTTAGGCCAATCGTTCCTTCAGGAGAAACATTGAATATGTATAACTTTCAGAAATGAGGAACCTAGCGATCTCATGCTCCTTGGTCACGCTAATCTTGGTAGCATCGACGATACTCCTCGGTGCGTTCGGCCTTGTGTTCAAGCAGCTATCAGCTCTCATGGTGACAGGTGTCCTATTTCTCATGGCTGGGATTTTCGGGATATTCACCTACTGCTTCATGATTTTCAGACGGTGAGTATCGAGAGCAAGCGTCGAACAATCGCGATTTCCGAGACTCCGATACCCACTGTATACCTATGTACAACTCCGGCATATGCGTTCCGTTTCGTGCCCGCTCATACCCGAACGATTCTCCTCCCTTCCAGAAGCTACCGGAATAATTATTCTCCCTTCCAGAAACCATCAACACGGAGTGCACACAGGGACCGCTTATGACAAATTCCTCATGACGAATCCCATCCTGACAAAATATCGTCATTACGAAGGCGGCTGGGCAGCTCAATTAGGGGCGTTTGGGATTTTTCTATGCTTCGCCAGCTCGGCGATGTGGTTGCTTCTGGCGCGGTGCCTCATTAGGTAAGTGGGCGCATAAGACGACCACCGATAAGACGACCAATCAACAAGCAGTCTGAAGCGAGCTTTGCGGCTTCTGCCGTCTAATTACGCAACCCCGTCGAGCTAATCAAAAACGGAACCTCTTCCATTGCAGGCTTTGGTAGGGTTGGCTCGAGGCGCAGCGGTGCTTGTGGACCAGTCGTAACCTTGGATGGCTCGTCAACTTTGCGCAGGCCTTGCATAGAAGAGGTGCTCGTATTCAGCCCGAGCCCGGAGGGAACCACATCGGCCACCTCTGGGGCTGACGAGGACGGCCCATAGTACCGATCCGGCGCCAGACGAATCATGCACCAAACTGAGCCGCCCCATTCGAACGCTGCCTCCCGATCTTCGTGCATCTCGTACGTCTGTACCTCGCTTACGGCCCCTCAAGGGTCTCGATTCTGTTGACTCCTGAAGCAAGCTGCCTCTTCAATCCCGAATATTGGGAGTTGAAGTTTTTTCTTCGTGGCCGGTCAGGAGCGATACTCTGGAGATTGATGATTTACTGTAGGAGAAAAGCGAATTCATTGCCCACGGCCCCGTACCGGAATAGATGCTCGGGGCTCCGTACTCCATCAATAGGATGCCTCTGACGAAAACCTGGCGCTCCATCACAATACGGAGCGACCTCTAGCACAAACGACCTTGTACAGCCCTAGCTAATTGTGTATTGTAGTCAGATTTAGCGAGTCGTTGGCGGAGTAATTTGTAACACGAACTCCCGTAGACCTCGAGTGAAAAACGCTGCCGTGACGACCCGCGCGAATATGCGCGTCTATTGTTGTCGTATCGACACAAACTCGGATACATGTGTGTACATACGCATGCCGAGCTCCGAGTGGACTCTGACTCGGAGCTGGAGCTGGAGATTCTTCGCTTGCGGCAGACGATCTCGAATACCTAATTTTTCTAAGATATTTCGGACTTTCCAAACCAATCCGATGCGAGATGGGGTTATTTTGTGATTATTAAAAAATTCAATCGAGGAACGCAGTGACCGATATTTTTTTTTCGAGGAACCAACATGCCTTCGAGACGGGGTTGCCGACGTGGGAACGATCCATCCTGAGGAGAGACGCCCATGCCTCGGATTCTATTGCTGCTTTCCCACGCAGAGTTGACGAACGGGCATTCCAATACGACAGGCGTAGCTGTGAGGAGTATCTTCTCGGGGTTGTTCCATTGTTAGACAAGTCAGCGCGATGATAGATGCTCTTCATCCAAAACAGGACTCGACACTCCACACCGCGATCCGATCCGTCGCTTCTCGCTGCTGTCGCCTTCCTGAACGCGCTCTCTTTCCACTGCTTGTTGGTCCCACCGACCGATGTTGCTGCCGGTTTTGGGAGCAATTTTTCTACCGCTGCGAATTTCCGCGCCATCGGACATTTTGCGGCTCTGAGAGATCCACTGCCGGCACCCGAAGAGAGGAGCGGGGGGAGAACAACATTTTCACCGCCGATGCCGCGATTGGCTTCCTCTCAGTCGTTCGTTCGTACGCTGGCGCTTCGCTCGGTAGTGCCGCTGCTACAGACTACTGCGATCAGCAGGAACAGAGACAGATACGCAATGGCGGGCGCTACGGAGTCAGTTATTGTTATCAGGCAGCCTCGGTGGGGGATGCCCGCGAGGAAGTATGAGTGTGACTTCGGCTATCGCAATTATCTTTTCGCGGAAGACTGCCGCAACTTTCCACGTCGGCTCTAGCGATCCGATCGGCCCCTCTCGCGTGGGCGTTAGCCATCAGTCAAACAGTCAGCCAGTCAATCAATCAATCAATGGATCACCTGACCGCCCGGGAACTCCGTCATTCCGTTTATACAATACCAATGCCGCATCCCGTGTCATCCTGTGCGTCCAAGGTCGGCCGGCCTGCCCTCCTTTAGCGTTTTGGGAGCAATCTTTCGGGAGGGAGAACTCTTCCAATTTCCCTAATTTCGATTGCGGATATCGATCGTGGGCAGGATACGATTCCGCGTGTTCCCCCGAGGGAGATCATTGTGCTCATGGCATCTGTGTAATTTGTGTAGCATTCTGCGAGAGCGTATATCTCGAGCCGAGCGAACTGTGGAGGTTAGCTTTTCACTCGTCCGCTCCGAGGATCGCTGAGGAAACAGCAACAGGATCCGGCGACTTTTTGTGTCACATTCGCAGGGGAGGCGTGGTTGTTCAACTGCCACTGTGGCGCACAACCTGCTGCTGGCCACAATGGCTTAGGGGCGTCTGCGGTGGCGGCGGCGGCGGCGACGACGGTGAAAACGACCTCAGCCAATCGGCTCTTCAGTTTTTCCCTCGTCGCATCCAGACCTTGCAGTTTTTCCTCTCGAGCTTCTTCCATCGCAGACAATCGAGCGGCCCATGGCGGACAAGCGCAGCATACAAGCAGTCCGTTTGCCGCTGTCAGACCAGTGGACAACGGGGAGGTCAACAAAGCGGTCAAGAAAAAAGGCGGGCTTTCCGCTGCAGATGAGGAGAAATGATGTCCGACAATGAAGCCGATCGCCGACTGCCTAATCTCGCCGAGTCCATCGGGATCTCCGGCCGCCCTCGCTGTCCAACGGAAGTTCCAGATTCCGGCCCGGGGATAATTTCCGAACCCACAACCGGCACCGCTGGATACGTTGGAGACAGTTCTACGATTCCACAGGGGGGGGGGGCAGGGGTTGGGGAATGGTTCCGCGTAGCTCGACGCTGCTGGCGGCGAGGGACGCGAGCTCATCACTCTGCGACGGATAGTCTCGATCGTTCTCCCACAGACTGAGGAATTAATCCTCCGGACTAAGCGCTTATCTCACCGGAGGAGATTACCGAATGTAAAATGCGGTGTACAAGCGGCAGTCTGTGGCCTGGCTGGTCAGAATGTATTTCCTCCTGAGAAAGTTGTACGTCGAGTAAGTCCTTTCTTCGTCGGAACTCGTTCGTCGCCTCGCCGACCGGGCTACGAAAAGAAGTGATGCTGTTGACGGGCAGAAGACTAGTATGTTATCTTTTCACGTAAAGAGCCGCGTACACTGCCAGTCTGATCCACACTCTCCCTCCCCTCGCCGAGCAGAATGCCGCCACGTAGACGACAGCATCGCTTCTCTTTTCCGCTCGGTCGTCCAGTGGTTCCCCTAGGGCGGCACTGACTGAGGAGCTCCTTAATCTGGCCAACAGCATGCGCCGCGAGAATGAAGACCGCTGAGTGAGTTCAACGACGGCGACAGCGGCGACCAGAGAGAGGAGGAAGGAGAACAAAGCGTTATTTGTTCCATGCTGAAAGGCGAGAAAACACAACCCTCCCACCCGCCATGATACACAGAGATTATCTATGGGACTTTCTGGGATACGCTTACCGATCCCTCGACCGGCTATCAGTTTCTCTTACTCCATCTCTTCCCGAATTCGACATTCGGAAATTGAGAGCAGGCGGCCGGGGAACGGAAGTTCCCCTATCAGAAACTATTCTAGTGTGCGGCGAGTCAGCCTGTTTTCCGAAATTCCCATGACGACCTCTCGTCACTGCGCTGAACGTGACTCCTTGTCGTCTCCTAGCCGCCTATTTGTCATCAAGCAGCTATCACTTGACTTTACATAGTTCGCTCCATCACTTACTCATGCAAAATTCATCGCTCGGCACAAACAAACTTACACACTCACTTTTGTTCGAGCACACGGACACGCGCACGCCATCACGAGTAGGCTTATCACGACCGCTGGTCGATCCACCCACCCGCCTACGCACGCTCCCTCCTAAGGGTCTGAAGACACGCACCGAACTTAATGACGTCATTTACGAAACTCATATCATAATCAAGAGTTGCCCTTCTGCGCAAAAGTTCGTTCTCGAATTTCGGGAGGTTGATGAAGTCAATTATTCGTTTAATTTGATTGTCCTCGAGGCCCATTTAGTACTCGACTATGGCGTCGCGTGCGTCGTTGTGTTTCAGCTGATTCGCATCTTCCGAATTTTATTTTTTATTATCTTATTTTGCGATGTCTGCGTCGGATCCTCGAATTTTCGCCCTTGATCGGAATCCCTGCGGTCGCAACCTCTCGGATTTTCGATTCTCCCAATGTCAAGAGTGTCCCCCGCGTGGCGGCATTTTCCTACTGTCCAATCATCGATACATATACGATTCTCTCTCAGATCGCTGATTTCTGCATGTTCTTCACGAGATTCACAGCGGGGGGACTCCGAGTGCGAGTTGAGCCCCGGTCCGGGATGCAAATGGTCCAAGAATGACAACGACGAGCCATCTCTTATGTTCGTTTCCGAATTGAACCTAAAATTTCGCGTGCGACGACGCACGCCGGAGAAAGCGTTCGACTAGTATTCATATCCACGTCTCCAGAAACGAGGGCGTAACAGTGTCGACAGAAGACGAGCAGCACATGCTGTTCAGATGATGCCCACTTTTGTTTGGAAAAATGACAAACAGTCTTCTTTTTCCAAGCGATTCATCTCAATTGGAGTCAGTTTTTCCCAGCGCCGTCTGGTTGGCAGGATGCTTCCATTCCTATCGCGCGTTCCATCGCAGAAGTCGCCCGAATCGTTCGCAGAGCAGGTCGAGCAGCAAGAATCACTCAAGGCATGTGTCGCTGAGATCTTTCGCCCGAGGAAATCTGTCAGCACGATTTCCGCACGGATCAAATCACATCTCCGGGCTCCGACCGGGATCGACAAATTCTTTACGAATTCTCCTTATTTCTGCATTCTTCGGGAAAGCATCCTCGACTTCAATGCGATGCTCTAATCTCGTGGCCGGGATCAGCTACGAGCCAAGTCGGAGATGATCAACAACCTGTCGACGAACGAAATTTCCGCTGAGATCCGCCATCGTCCTCCGCTAGCGAACCTCTCCCATGGCAATGGATTAGGGCGGGAGATGGGGAAGCGCAGCTTCGGAAAGGCAAATTGGTCTTTCGGCTCGGAAGCTCGGAAAATCAGCATTGATGCTCTGGAGTGCCGGGCAATCCAGCCTCAAAACTCTGCTTGATTAT